CGCACTCCCGAGCAAAAAACGTTCTGCTCCCTAACCCTCACCCTAACTCCGCGCTCGCGCGGAGCCGAAAAAATTGAAATTAAATGCGAAAAATACCCAGAATATTCAGCCATCAGCCACCCACCACTCGCAACCCCTAACCCCGAATGCCCGGTCGCTTGCGGCCCACAGCCTGCCACGCACCAAAGTCTAGCCAGAGTCTAAGTCTAACTGGCCCATTCGTTCAGCCTATATATTCCCTTCTACCCTCGACCCTCCGAACCTCCGACCTCCAACCCCCGGACCTCCAACCACTAAACTACGTCTCTAAGCTTAACTTCCGCTTTGCTCTAGACCTCTTCCCTCTCCTATCCCCCCGACTCTTTAGTCTTACAGCAATGTGCAGAAAGATACGGAAAACACGTTTCTCGCGCGATGGGCACTTACCTGCCCGGAGGCTCGCGCCGGCCATTCCGACAGGTGTCTCCGGAGCACAAGTTGTGCGCGCCCTCTCGCGGTCCTCACGTCCGGGTCCTGCAGTACAACAAACAACGACGCGACAGCACGCGAGGCCCATCATGTTATTTGTACGATTTTTGCAATGTAGAAATAGAATTTTCGTGCTCACAGGGCGAGAAATGAAACAGATTCAAGGACAAGTAGTTCACGCCATACAGCGTCGACAAGTTCGTTTGAGCTATGTTCTCTATCTCTATAATACCGGCCACTGAGCTCAGTGGCTGAGTACAAAGCGGATATAAGCTCAATGCAAGGTTTGTATTGCCACATCCATCTAAACAACTACCTTTCATCTTTGGGTATTCCAATAGCCCCATATTATGGCTACATAATGCAAATAGTTTCGGGGTCATAGCTGTAGTAGTTACATGTCAATAATCTTACTTCCATTGGTGGCAAGTGTAAGAAAGCTGTGGTAACAACAAATATGCAGGCATGATTATGCTGCTAGTTGGTGTACACCTTTTTAGTAGCAGCACTTCTCATAGCTACAGTATACAGGCACAAGAATATATATTCTGCAAGGTTGCGCTGGTAGTATGGCCTTAGGAGGATCGATACATTATCCTGTGCCCTTACATTCCGGGCCTAGCACACTGCACAGCCGCAGTGTCTTGTGCATACGAGTACAGGTAATTATAAAGCACTCATACAGTTCGCGCACATCATGTGGGTTCTTAAACAAGGTTAGATGTTTTCCGGGGTAATCATGAGCTTGACATCCAACAGCGGTCTCAACGCAGGGTGACCCAGGGTCAGCGTTGGACGTGGAGTCCCACTGTTGTGGCAGAATGCCGTGCACAGATTCTCAGCGAAGTGAATTGCAGCTGACGGCCGATGGCATGAGCGAAGCTTTGGGCAGAGCGCGGACCTCGCAGACTGCTTGTCAGGCTTATTGAATGAGACAATGCACACATTATGGCCGCAGCGTGATTTGCCGGGCTTGTGCGCGTCGAAGAGTGCTTGCAGGACCGGGTTCGTGAAAGGGGGTATCAAGGGGTGCTTTGCGAAGTCGAGGGCGGAGACCAACACGACATGATGCTAGTTCTTTTTGAGGTCATCGTCCGTACAGGAGGATCGCACAGGGCGTATACAAATGAAGCAGCTCGGGAGCTTGTGAGCGTATACAGTATGAAACAAGCTTACAAGTACATATATTCAAGTCGAGACACCTGCACAGTCGCCTATCGTGACCGTTCTCATGCGGAGCTTCGAGACTTACCCACGCGTCGCGCGACGCCCCGAAGACAGGTAGGTTCGCGCAGACGAGCTGCAGCAAGTAGTCAGCAAAACGCAGTCGTACATTGCGAAGACTAAATGCTTACAACCGCGACCCACTACCGCGCGTATTCGACATCAACGCACTCTCGAGCGCAGATGATGACAAGTCCGCGTCTGGCACAACATGAGTTACGGACTCACGACGAATGAGCAAGGGAATACTCACCGCTCAAGTCGCTGAAGCTCGACGCCTCGCTCACCGTCCCGCTCACAGCCGTCAGTCCCGCCGCCGCGTGCCGCAGGCTCTGCACATGTGTCTGTCCGACCGCGCGCCCAGGCGAGAGCGTGGGCGGACTCGTGCTCGGGGTGCTCAAGTGTCGCGGGACGGGCATTGGCGATGTCACTCGAGAGGGCGACTGTGCGCTCGAGGTCGAGTGGGTCGTCGAACGCGACTGGGACAGCGACTGGGACGTTATCAGCGACTGTGAGTGTGCCCGCATAGGCGGCCGCTGAGGGTGACTGAAACGGCGGGACTGGGTGTGCGCCTGCTGGTGCGCGTGCACGGGACGGGGCGCGTTGGCGGGAGGGGATGGTATAGAGGGTATAGACCCTTGTCGCGAGTCCACGCTCGCGCTTGAAAGGCTCTGCCGGCCATGGCTACGCGACATTGAAGAGCTCTGCCGCGCATCCGAAGACGACAGCGACACCGCGGACGTGCTTGCCCCGGACATCGGGCGCGCGCGGCCCCTCTGCTTCGCACGCGCCCGCGCGGGATCTGCGACGAGCCCGAGGGTGTCCGAAGTCATCATATTCTTGAGAGCCTCCAGCTTGCGCGAGAGCGTCTCCTGCCGCTCCGCCTCCTCCTCGCGTGTTTGCTCGTCCGAGTCGTCCGAGTCGCTGCCGGCTGAGGAAGAGTCTGCACGAGATGAAGTTGGGGATAGGCGGCGGAGGGGTGTCCGTGTCCGCCTCAGGCCTTGTAGCGTGATGGTCGACGAAGATGAAATCTTCTTCGTCTGGCGCAGTGGTGGCGCCGCGTTTGTAATAGGGAGGCCAGCCAGCAGGCTGTTGACCGGATCGGCGTGGATAGAAGACCTGACCTGAGCGTGCGCGCGCGGGGTTCCCAGCGAGCTCAGGCGAGCGCGAACGCCCAGTGGTCGGAGAGTACTCGTGCCGGCCACGGTTCCAGATGTCGACGCCAACCCATCCGCGGCGGAGGACGAGGAACCCATGCGCGCGTGCGCCACATCGCGAGGGGGGAGCAACGGAAGAGGAGAGTCGGGCACACGCGGAAAGTATTCGCCTTGCACGTAGGTGCGCTGGGGTGAAGGAGCGGAGGGGAAGGGGGCTGCAGGGCTGCGGATGCCGAGCCCTTGGAGACCACGGAGGTCCTCCTCATAACGCGCCTGCGCGCGATAGAGGATGTACGGGAGGGGCACGCGCAGGTGTTCCGCGAGACCTTTCCCTACATCATCGTTAGCACTCTCCTTCCAGTTGAACTTCGCGCAGGATAACGACGGCGCGACCACCAACCAGAAGGGGGGGGTAAGTACTCACAGTCGGTTGCTGCCCCCTCGATAGCGCGACTCTGCGCGATAACCTCCCAAAGCACTTTCTCCTTCTCAGCATTCCACTCCACCTGGAATCCCGCAGAACAGCCCGTGTATTTATGAGCATGTACGCGTAGACGAGTGCGATGGAAGCATGCGCACTCGAGGAGGGTCCGAGGGCGCGTCCTCGGGACGGTTGTACGGCAGCCTCACGATCACTCGGACAGCAGGGGGACAAGGCATTGCAGCGCGAGATTGGTCAAGTCACAGAGCGCTCCAGAATATACAGTAGCAGAAGCCCCGCGACAGTCGAGAGGTCCTGTGCGTCGAGCCGCGAGAACCGGGACGCGGGGTGGTGGCGGGAGGTGGCGAGAGGCGTACATGATGTAGGCGCCCATTTCGCATCTTGGACTCACGCTCGATTTGGCGTACCACGCTCGCTTCCCACCGAGCAGGCACGGTTTAATTCCACTGGCGGTACATGATGAGAAGTACAACAGGTCGCTCCGTATCATCGTGCATTATGTTAAAGGCTCCCAACGTCTCGGTGTATCCAAGTCGATGAACGCGCTGAACTATCGTACAGATCCCCGGTCCACTTTCACAAGTTGCACACCCACCTACTCACTCCAGGGTCGGGGGCGAGTTCCCGCTCCCCATCATGACCCACGCGCCCTCGCTCGTCACGTCGTCGACCGTCAAGAAAACGGTCGCAGGGCCCGGCGGGAACACGCGCCCGTTCGGGGGCGTCGTGAACGTGAGCGACTTGCGGTCGGCCGAGATGGTCGCGTCCATGAAGACCAGACGCGCACTCGAGTGGAACGCGTGCGTCGAGAACCCGAGGTCCATCAGCGACACTGCGCGCAAAACTTGTCAGTACAGGCACGTACGCCACAAACAACTCTCGACGCACCTTGGACCTTCGCGCCCGGCCGCGTGAGCGCGAGCGGCAGCGAGATCGGAACAGTGACCTTCTTGTTGAACGCGAGCTTCTTCGGCGTCGCCCCAATCTTCGGCCGGTCGACAAACATGAACGGCGGGTCGAGCGTCTGCACGCGGAACTCGCTCGGGAACTTCACGCCGGGGCCCACCGTCGTGTTCATGTTCGGGTTGCTACCCGCGATGAGGAAGTTGCCCTGCGGCGTGAGGTTGATGCTCGAGTGGTACACTCGCGCGATGCCCGAGGACGGCATGCCCGCGTTGCTGATGCGTCGTCCGAGCGGCGCGGTGGGCGTGTACAGCGAGGGGGTGAGGACGGCGTGGTCCGCGTTCGAGTTCCCGACGGGCTCGCTGACGCTCGCGATCGCGGCGAACCCGGAGCGCGCGCCGTTCGCGATGAGGACTTGGCCGTTGGGGAGGTGCACGAGCTCGGGCATGACGCGTGGCTCGAGCATGTGCTCGACTTCCCAGCCCTTGGCGATACCGGCTTCGTCTAGGCGTATGCGTGAGCACTGCGTTGTGGCGGGGGTCTGGGAAGACAGGAGGAGGGGGTCGATGGTGTCGGTCTGAGTGCCGCCGCAGACGAGGACTTCGGGGATGAAGTCGGGCGGGGAAAGCGGGAGGAGGATTGCGGAACCGTCGATGGGGTTCGTGACGCGGACGTTGTTCGGGATGTCGGGAAGGATGCGCTCGGTGTTCGCCTCGATGTCGTAAATAATCGACTGGTTGTTGGCGACGATGAACACCTTGCCGTCTGGTAACGCGAAAGCCCTGGGCAACGAGTCAGCTTTAGAACATCACGGGCAGAATGCAGACGCACCGTGGGAAGAGGTTCGCCGGAAGACTCCTGTTCAAGAACTCGGACGGCCGCGGAGTATCTTCCTTGCGCGGGAAGAACTCGTAGCTGAGAGCCGGGTCGGTGTTGTAGAATGGCGTCGACTCGTGGATGCCGCCAATGATGAGCAGACTACCGTCGAAAATACGGATGGCAGTTGTGTACCACCGCTTGACGAGCAGGTGCAGGGCGTCCGGGTTGTCGAAGAGAGTGCAGCCCTCGCCGGTCGGGGATTCGCATGGCTCGAAGACGCGGATGGCTTGGTTACCCGGGTGAATGGCCGGGTTTCCGGTAAAGCCGTCCGGGTCGCCGCCGACGCTGACCTATGGGGATCCAGCGTGAGTTTTCTTTTGCTTCGCGGGCGGTCGAAGTGAAGCACGCATACCATACTACCGTTGCTAATGAGCGCGCCGCTGCCGCAGAAGGAGTTGCTGAAGACATCGAGCGGCTGGACAGTGCTGCTCTCGAGGTTCCAGAGCGCACCCCACGCGGAGTGGTTGTTGATCTGGAGCGGGTCGTTGGACGCGCGGTCGAAGAAGAGTACAAGCGTGGGAGAGACGACGATGGCCTCGAGCGCGACGATCCCCGACGTCTCCGCCTTGAGGTCAAAACGCCATCCGGGGGCGGACGGCGCCGCGGCGGCGAGGGTCGCGAGGAGGGGGATGAGAGCGAGCTTCATGGTCTCGCGGAGTTGTGGGCACGTTGGCAGGGCGATGCGCACACAGTGGGGTCCGTAGCACTTCGCGAAGCTCTTTTAAGGTAAGAAAGAGAGTTGGGATTTCCTGAGCGTATTTAGACGTGAGCCTTGGAAGCAGGGGAGTCGACGCCAGGAGACCGCGACGGGAAAGGAGTCAGTGGGGTGCTGAGTGGATACGTCGCACGCGCGGTGGATTTATCCCATGGGCGTGTCCGCACTCACAGCCAGAATGTGGACTGCGACGCGTAGCGTGGTCATTGAACTTACATCTTTGGCATGCGAAGTCAGTGACTTGGAGTGGTTATAGTAGGAAGGGCTGGTAAGATCTGATGTGGAAGACGGGAAGCAGCTCGAGAAAGAGGCTTACCAGTAACTGCGGAGCTATGAGGGGAAAATCGCGCTGGAGGGTGGGCACGCTAGGGAGGAGCTAGAGTCATAGGACGAGCGTTGAGTACTTCCTTGGCGAAAGAGGAATCGACGGCGGCCTCACTCTCACGAGGCTCACGGCATGTGCCCATTCAAAGAGCCGAGCTCGGGCAGGAACCGTTCACTCGCCAAGCGTTCGAGTCCGGTAAAAGTAGAACCCTTGCGAATACGGCCGTCGCGTGTCTGATAGGCATCACACCGACCGCGAAATTGCCTCGGCGGTACCGCAAGGGCAGTGGACCTACAATAGAGAGCACGTCGCCCTCGTTCTCGCGCCCATGGAGCGCCGGGAAGATACGGAGCTCCGGGAGGACCTCCTCTGAGCTAGCCCCATCGAGTGGTCGACCTCGAGCAGATGGTATAGCGCCGTGCAGCAGTCCGAGGTCGAAGAAACGGCCTGAGGATGTCGTGGAAGGAAACAAGTTGTGACATCTATACGTGAATTAAGGTCGTGACACAAACTTGATGCGCCTTATTGCGCAAGCTCACCGTTACGCTGCATCTTACAACTTTCCCCACGGGGCCTTACCGTTGCGTAGAGATAACTGAGAAGAAAAAAATCCGCCCTACCGTTGCGCGGTCGGCGTCGAGGAGGCGAAAGGTGGGACACAATCTAGATCTTATCTGGATGCGCTTACATAAGATTCCCAGCCGTGGCCACGGGCGTCTTACGGGGAGCATTACCCTTACTCCTCCTGCCATATGCATTCTATCGAGTTCTTCGTATTTACAACAGCCCTGTTTGCAACTCCTTCTGCGGATCCTTAGACACCAACAGCTTACGGGTGAGTTACGTTTTACGAGAGGGTCTTACAGCCACAAGGGGGCTCGCGTCGCGTAGGCTGGCAAGCGTCAATCCGGCCGGTCCGACCAGATGGGCTCGCAATTTGCAGGCAGCCCGCATGATACAGGAGGATTCGCTTTGACGAGGGGCTCACGTCTTACGGGGGAACATACGGAAAGGTTTCCTCTAATTGGGACATCCTCCCGCCCACAAATTGCCGCACCCTTGAGGACTCCTCAGACAAGGGGAGCCCGTGCGTAGCACGGGCCTAACGTCTAGTAGTGTTTGGGTTAAGGTTGCGGTGTTTATCTCCGATCTGCATGTTTGATCGGCCAGATCTAACCCAGAAACGGCAACTCCTCCTCGTCCCCCTCGTCCTTGCTCCAAACCGCCACATTCATCGAGCTCTCTGTCCTCCGTGTACGCTCGCTGTGTATCGCTGTCATATACGACACACACTGGGGTCACTCTGAGCTGCGTCTCCCCCAAATTGTTCATACGGAATTTCAGTCGCTGTCCTACCTGGAGAGGAAGCCGCAAACGATGGGCACCACGCCCGAGACGGTCGAGGACCTCATCGCGCAGCTCTCGCTAGATCCTGACCCCGAACGCGAGGCAATTGCCTCAGAACTTGGCGGTGCGCGCCCTTCATCTGTGGCAACACTCCCCACCTAGTCCTCATCCAATTCCTTTACACTCGACTATCGAACTTCCTCGCGGGCACGCTCCTCGTCCACGAAGTGCTGCAAAGCATATACGGCGAGGACGCGCTCAAGATCTGGACGCCTCCGAGTCCATCCGGCACTGTGTCCCCCGATCGCGACGGACACGCCGCCAACCATGCCGAGCCGGGCACTATGCGTTTGGAAGCCACGCTCAGGTGAAGCTTCCGACCGCGTTCGCGTGTTGCACAGTACTCACAACTCTTCAGCATAGAAGCATCCTCGGGCGATGACGATGAAGAAGCTACCCACTCTATAATCTTACTCGTCTCGCTCCCACCAACCTACCCATCCTCCTCCCCACCTCAGCTCCAGCTCCTCTCGCGCTACATTGGTCCGTACGGCGTCGACGCGCCGCTCTTCGGTATGGTTCTCCGCACGTTCATCTCGCGCGGCGCCGTCGAGTGGACGCCTGGAGGCGTATGCGTCTTCGACGGCTTGGAGTGGGTCAAGGAGCGCTGCATCGAATGGCTGGGCGAGCGCATGAGCGAGAAGAGAGCGGGTGAGCTGCTACGGGACGACGAGCGGGGCAAAGCAGACGAGCTGCAGGAGGAGGGAAAACCAAGCGCGAGAGCAGGACGCGAACCTCCAGCAATTCCAGCGGAGATGCCCGCCGGGATTACGCTCGTCGAGGCGGAACCCATCGTAGACCGCAAGAGCGTATTTATTGGACGCGCGTGTCGTATCGCAGATCCTTCCCAAGTACGCTCCCATCTTGGTGTATTATTGGTGCACCCACTCACGTCAGTCGTAGGTTCCGCCCATTCTCGAGCATCTCCTGTCGGACCGGCGTATAGCACGCGCCGCTCATCCTATTATAAACGCCTGGCGATGTCGGGTCGGCGCAACGCTACATCAAGGTAGGGTGGCTCAACGCGTCCGGTCGTGATATACTCATGGGCTGTTCTTTTCAGACAATGATGATGACGGCGAAACGCCAGCGGGAGGGCGCCTCGCACACTTGCTGCAGATCCTGGTACGCCATCCGTGCCTTTCGCGTCTCTTTGAGCTGATAGCCTGATTACGATGGCGTACAGGAGGTTGACAACGTCCTCATCGTAGTGACGCGGTACTTCGGCGGCATCCATCTCGGCCCGGACCGCTTCAAACACATCAACCAAGCCGCGCGAAATGCTCTAGAACTGGGCGGATTCCTCGACACGCCTGACGAAGGAAACCTGGGTAGGAAACACGGTAAAGGGCGAGCGCACGCGAAGCGATAACGTCGCACAGTCGATCGTAGGGTATATATACAGAAACAAGTACATACTAAACTATTTGCTACAGTGTCGTGGCCCATCTAAACGTGTCGTACATAAGTGTCATGGGTTTGTCAGAGGGGTCATTATTCCAGGAGCCGCCTGCGTTTCGAGCGTCCGTAACTCTCGACCTCCTCGATCTCCACCCGCTTGCGCCGCACGTTCTGCCGGATAACAGTCGGCGGCACCCTCCTGTTGCGCGCGTACGCATCGGTGAGGCATTCTTCCACGTCGCGCAGAATCAGACGTTCGTCCATCGTCAGCCGGTAGCTCTGTACAACGACCCTGCATGTCCCTTGTCAGCTCAATTCTCGCGCGACGTGCAAAACCCAGACCACTCACATAGCCTCGATCCGAAACACGAACCCCGCGACGCTCTGCATCCACACAAACTTGAAGTCCCGACCATGGCCGCAGTACTCGACCTCCATTTTATACTTCTTGATGAACGCCGTGTTCTCCGCCGGCCGCGTCCTGCCCTCCCGCGGGAACTCCGTGGGCGAGATCGGCTTTGGGGACGTCGACCAGTACCCCCACGGCGCATCGAACTCCTGCATCCCCGACTCGGTCTGAGTGCGCTCGTAGAAATACAGCCGACGGGGCGGTTTGCCTATGGGCGACGGCCCGAGTGAGACGAGATGGCTGGTGGTGATGAAGTGCAGCGTGTGCACTGCATGACTGTCAGTACAGAGAAGGAGGGGCGCCGCGATGGGATTCGGCAGCTCACCTATAGAGAGGTGCCCTCCCGGGCCTGCGCGGGGCATGTCGACGTCAGCGATGTAGCGCGGGAGGTCGAGGTACACGGCCTGCGTCAGGAAAAAGTTGCGGCACTTGTCTTCTTCCATGATCTCCTGCATCGTGCGGATGCCAATGCCGTAGTCCATGTCGAGCACGGTGTGTCTGTAGCCGCCGTAAGTCGCGGAGTCCTCATGAGCCGAGCCCCACTTGGAATGGGCTTGCGCTGCTCACCGTTTCCAACACCCGTCTCGCGTCAGCACACTCTTCGTAATCCGCGCGGGGCCGTCGAAGAGACGGTTTCTGTTGGCCAGCTCACACAGGTACCCGTCGTGCGGTATTTTCCGGTACTCCTCCCTCGTGTCGTCCTCGTCGAAGGCGAACATGCATGCAGAGTTGTGGTGTTGGACGACATCCGCCTTCTGGTTTCTGTACACGTATTTGCCCTCTGGCGACCACGTGTCCACGTGGACGCAGCTCCCGATGAGCGGGACGTCCTCGGTCCAGAAGACGTTGTCCTCGGTGCGATTGAAGTCCGTGAATTCGGTGAGCTTGTCCCAGAGGAGGAAGAGCGTCGCGGCGCGCTCGATGGGGTTCGGCGAGTCCAGGAACTGGCGCAAGCGCGTCGGGTTGATCGCTAGAGGAAGGTCAGACAAACAATAGTCTCGTTTGTCGCTGGGTGTCGCACGCACCTCTGATAGCTTTGTGGTCTTCGTAGCCGAGCTCGAGGTACTAAAGCACAACGTTAGTGTTATTGAATAGGAGAACGGCTGCTCAATACTCACGCCGTCGGCCATACAGAGCATGCCTGGTAGCGTGTCGCTGGTCCACACGTCTGCATGCCACCGAACCGTGCCTTCCGGGGTGAAATACAGGTCTCGCGTGCCGAAATTACAGCCAGAACCGCGCTTGCCAACCTCCTTGACCAACTTCAGATCGCGGGCGAGGTAGTCGAATGCCGACTATTCGAAGAGTGAAAGTCAGCGGCAGTTTCAGAATCGTTTGACAGAGGCGCGTACCTGCAGCTGCTTCGCCTTGCGATGTCAAGGTAAGCATATCTGTATGACGGGATGAGTCGACATGGAACGTACCACGTCAAGAGTGCGCAGGAACCTGTCAGTACCGTGCAATTTCTGGAAGGCCTCTTCGAAGGGGATGTGCTCTGATAGAACGCGATTGTGTCAGTCCCCGTACACTACTCGAATGCATCGTATAACTGGCCTTGTCCACCGGGAATTGCCACGAACCCGTACGGGAGCTCCGGTGAGGAATACGCCACCAGTTCCACAATGTGAGGGTTCGGCCTATCAATTGCCCGTGGACAGCAGTCAGTAGAAGTCCTCCTGACATCCCACACCTCGAAGCACCTACATGAGATCCCGCGAACGCAGCGCGAATTCCTTCCGGCGCCGGATGGCACTGCGGAAAGCCTCAGAGTCCTTGCCAGAGTACTTCTTGATGATGAGCGTCTCCTTTGTCTTTTCTACGCGCAGCTCGTAGCGCTCTGTGGCCCCGTCGCCGTCGTACAACATGTTGTCGACCGAGACGTCTATCCGGCTGATCAACCGAAAATCCTTCCGTTTGAGCACCATCTACAGAATCGAAATGAGCCCGGCGCGATAACGGAAAGAGAGAATGCGCCTGACCGTACCCGCGTCCTCGTCGGTAGTGATCATGCTGACAGCTATGTGCTGCAATACCTTCGTCATGTTCTCATCGATGTGGACGGTACGGTTTAGGAGCATATCCTGGACCCGTGTGGTGTCTTCTGCGCGCTCGACGAGGAACCTCTGTCCCGTAGAGATCCGCATTAGATCCTCCCGTGTTGCGATAGCGCTTTGGACCTGATGCAAGGCAAGCAAGATCAATCGTTCTGACTGGTGGTCGCAAGAAGGGCACCTACCTCGAACATCTTGAAAGCGTCGTCTAGTTGTTTGTTTAGCTTCGCAATATGGTCCTCCAACTCCTGTTGCTTCCAGAGTACGGTCATTATTGTACGTTTCTTCGCCTGCCGTTTCATGAGGTTCTCGACGTCCCACAAGGTGCTGGAGTAGATGATCTATCGTTGAGTGAAGATCAAGCAGCGCGTGTATAAACGTACCAGAGTAGCGCGGCGATAGGCTCCGCGGTGCTGCCAGTCATGTCTACGTCTGGTGCATGCTTCAGCTGCTCGTATATACCGAGCGAAAATCCCGCGGCACGCAGCGCGAGTGCCGCACACTCCCCCTTCGCACTCTTCGCCTTCTGCAGCGAATGTCAGTCTCGTACGCATGCAGTACAGAAATGCGACATACCTGGACTAACTCCACAATGTTCAACGCGAGCTCGACGGCCGGACCCAGTCCGGGCACAGACACGGGCACCAGGCCCAACGCTGTCTTTGCCAATCGCAAACCCTGGAGAACTCTGTCCATTTCTACATACACAGCACGAGCGCCTAGGTCAGCCACGGTGTACACAGCACGACAACCAGCCCACACGCACCTATAAGCCAAACAGATCCGCGGAGATATAAAAAGCAGGGGATATTCCAGATGCAGCACTCCGCCGCGAGATTTATGATACCGCAACCCCGCTCGCGCTGTGGTCTTATAGTACAGCCCTTGGCGCGCTGGTGTCGGGGTTGGCCTCTGTGCGGACAAGGTCGCCACGGAGTTGACGTTTGACAGCGCGACGCTCGCGGCAGCGGCGTGCGGTGATGCGCATGGGGGGCGTCCTTGTACTTTAGCCGAGGCGCGAGGTGTGGGGGCTGATGGTGGGCCGCGAATCGGAGAGAAACAAGGCCAGCGCGGGAAGCGAGCAGGCATTGCTGTGGCTCCGGTACCTACCATCCTGCTCGTTACGTTCTCGTTCAAGTGAGCAGTACGTCGCTGTGAACGAGATGGGTACTCGTACGTCTCTGCTTGGAGGCGAGACCTTGAAAACAACGCTCGCTCCATATGGCCAAGCGCCCGTGCTTCTCTGCGCAGGCGAGCGCCCAGGGCTAACAAAACGCACCCGAAACCTTTGGCGTTGGGAGGACAGAGCCTGTCGTGGCTGCGCTGACATCCGAAAGCTACTTATGGCGGATCCTTGGCTCAAGCTGAAGTATCTGCATAGATACTATATATCAGCGGTGAATAGTGTGCCTGATGGATATACTGAACCCTACACCCACTGCAGAGGACATTCACGAATCAACAAATCCCAAGTTCTATTCCACAGAAAACAGTTGTGTGATGAACACGCGGGCACTCACTGCTGAGGGTATGGAGGAGGCGGGCTGAACACGGTCTCTGGCGGCGCGTCCGTTCGTCTGGGGCTGGCTGGCTCCAAGTAGCCCGACGTACCAGTATTTCCGCGCGGCACGTCTTCGCAGGTACACCAGCTCCAGATGTATATGCCTCACCCAGTACACCCGACATGACTGCAGTTGCTAAAGGGGCAAGCGAGCCAGAGACGACCGCTGCATATGTCGGAATTCGAAGTGTTGCGTGCCGGAGGTCGGGCGTCGATTTGCGACATGGACAGGTAAGCGAGTGATGGTACTGCCCGAGTTCCTCGGTCGATGGAGCAGCCAGAGGCGGCACACGAGGGGAGAGCATGAATGGTAGTGCGTACGTGGTCGTACGAACGAAAGGACGATCGCGTCGCGTCGCTGCTGCACCGTTCGAAATCGAGCGAGCGCTCCGCTCTTCCCGGACTCCTCATAGCCGCGGCCCGCCGCTCCGCTCCTCCTGCGCGAGGGCTCGCGAGGGTCTAATCCTTCTTGTCGGCGAGTGCTATCGTGCGGCACATACTCATAAACAAGCTAGTGAGTGAGCGTGAGGCGCTACCGGTAGGCGTGTAAAGTTCATAGCCAAGATACTCCTTAGACTAGATTAGTACGACTCGTATGTACTTGTAGGATAACTTTGGTATAGGTATAATGAGCGCATCGTATCGTATACACGATACAAGTTGTACAGACCAAGAAAGTGCGAAGAATGCAGGAATGCGTATAAATCAGGGTTCAGAAAGTTTCGCGAACGCTAATTACTGGGACGCAGCGACATATGGGGGAGGTGCTCCGGAGTCAAGCTTGCCTGACAAAGGCAACGGGTCACGGGTCACACCGGCGGTATCCTGATAGCCCGACGCGACAGACGTCGACTGCACATCGGAGTACAGCGAAGGGGTCCCGGGAAGTGCAGACAAAGCAGTCTTCTCCGGTGCGGCAAGAGGCATGGGCGACGACTGTCCGTACTCGTTTCGGTACGTCGATCCCGAAGTTAACGAAGCAGCAGATGCCGCGACGGACTCCGGCAGTCTGAAGGAGCCTGTGTCTCCATCCCGAGTCGCCAGCAAGGATGCTGAGGAGAGCGTTGACGCTGGTGCCTCCCGCATTGTCAGACGCGGTACGTGTCCTCTTGGGGTCGGACTCGGGAAGGCGCCCTCGAGAATCGCTATTAAAGCCCGTCAGACTGCGAAACGGGCAGCCAATGAAGCCAAATACGCACCTTCCCCTCGGGGCTCTCGCCGCGCCCGAGACGACCTGCGCTTCCTGAAGCAGTAGCCGCCGAGCGCCGCCAGGAGCAGGAATCCCACCGCCCCGCCAACCGCCCCGCCCACGATTGCCGCGGTGTTTTGTGGAGGGCTAGCTGCCGCGTTCCCACCGCTCCCAATCGCGCTCGCGCTCGCGGAAGCCTCCGCCGTCGAAGCGCGAGTAAAAGAAGGGGGCAAAAGGAGAGATAGATCAGGGACCGAATCGTCGGATGTGGACCCGGACGAAGCAGTCGAGGAAGTCGCGGCGCCCGAACTGGACCGGGTCAGTCTAGCTGGGGTACATGGGGGAGCGACAGAGGAGACGTACATGGCGGATTGGGTACTGGTCGTAAGCACGGCTTCTGGGACGAACCAGAAGCTATCGAGCCACAGGGTGTTCGGCGCCGTCCCGTTCAGGTTTGTGACCACGAGGGTGTGCAAGCCCGGGAGGAGCAAAGGCGAGGTGAAGAAGTCGGCATCGCAGAAAAAGGTATCCGGCGTCTCGGTCAGGTTGCTCTGATCATCAGTATTGTAGGTTATGCCGTCGACGACGTAAGACTCCGACGGCCATCCATAATCGTTGGTGCTCCCGCCGCAACCTGTGACGCCGACCTGGACTCCTGCAGACAAGGCGAGTTAGCGGTGGGCCGGGACCAACAATTTTAAAGGAGACGACCTGTAAATGTGAACGTGGCCGTCATGCCTCCTCCAGTCGCATAGTGGAGGGTGTCATCGAATGCGGCACTGTAATTTACTAAGCCCCACCCGCTAGAGTAGTGGATACGAGAATCGCTATCGTCGACGGTGACGGAAGGACCTAGTATGCTCATTGGAACGTAAAGGAAGGGCAGCAGTAGGAATGAATGGACCGGCCAATGAGAGACGGAGAGCCGGATAGGCTCGGCAGGACGATAAGTCGGGGGAGGGATGAAGCATTGTAAGCACCCCAGACGGACCTTGTTTATATCCTCCTGAATCAATGCGTAGGCATCCAACTTGGTCGCAGCCGGTCGCGCCTCGATAGCGTCAATCTGTCGTACACAACTCGAGACGGAGCGCGTTGAGTAGCTGTGAGTATCCGGTCCCTCATCACTCGGAAGCACAAATCGGTGTGGTAGGATTTCATCGTCTTTGGAAAGCGAAGGTGTTACTTCCATATATTGCAGGCCACAGCGCAGTGAACATGCTCACCGATAAAATGGCACCCTACGCTGATATGTTATGTGCGCGGATTGGACGCACAAGTTGAGGCTTTAGTCGAGGGTTGGATGCCACGCCGCGCCGATGGACGTTCTTGAGGCTGTCAGCGCGGAGACTTGACATCCTCCTGATGAAAGTTCTTGTTCTCCAGCCTGGCCGGAGAATGATTAGGCGGGTACGACGCAATCATAGCCATCGTGTTATTACACACGAGGACACTCGACTGCGAGCTGCCACGCCGCGAGCGATGACCGGCTCTTCTTCTTCGCCTGATCAGCGCGTTCAGTAGTCCTTCAATCGTGAGGAAGCAGTATGCATACGTACATACCCCATGTAGAATCCTCCGGTGAGGCAAACATGCTTCCCGGCATATCTACGTGTACACAGGGCGTGCGGTTAATGGATTTTCGCGCTCACCAGCTTCACAAGAAAGCAGCGCGTGGTGGGACGTCGTCATCCGCTCACGGTCGGATGTCACGGTGGATACGAGAGCGGCCGGCGCGTCGGACAACTTTGGCGTATCCTTCGATGCAGGGGGCCTGGGCGGCGGTTTTGCGAGGTTGAAAAGCGCGCTCACGAAGTGCGTACGGAGCTGAGTGTTGTGTTGGAGCTGGACAAGCGAGCATGCGATGATGGAGGTTCGCGTCCAAGGTCTCTCCTCCGGCGATTTCGATGAAGATTCGCTCGGAGTGCCGGGCCGGTCGCGTACTACCTGCCACTAGTACTCTGAACGCTGTTCGCTCACTCCCGGGATATCGCGGGGCGGCCTCCTTACGATCAATACTTGACGTTGGCTGTGCTGGGGCGGACAGTTTAATTGAAGAGCGCTATGAGCGGGCTCTCCATGACGTCTGCAGCGGTAGACCAGATTTTGTCCGAGTCGATTTATTGCATTCCCGACCGTAGAGTGCGCACACTTGGAGTCGCTCTGCAACCACTGGTGCTCTATACATGATCATTCTCGCAGATCGACCAAGTCAAGACCGTATGATTGTGGGAGTTCACCGAGCACAGTACGGTGGAGGTCCCGTCCCTTCGGAATCGTCGATCTCGCGCGACAGAAGCGCATAGTTGGACGTCGAGAGCGCCTGATGATCCGACGTGGATACGGGTGTGGCTTGTGAGCCGGATCTCACTAAAGACACCCTGGCCATGGACGTCTGTGGCGTCTCCGAAGCGGGGACTCGAGGCATGGGCGGCGGAATAGACTGTTGCTGTTGTGCCAGAGCGAGCGAAGGTGCGGGCGCGGCGGCAGATCCGGGTGGAGAGACCGTTTCTTCCTTGATCCGGAACGGTACAGCGGCCGTGATAGGAACTGGAGGTGCTTCCTGCATTGGCAGATATGATGACCTGTGTCCGAGAGATATCGGGCTCATCGGGCCACTGCCTATGCCTGTCACGGTCAGTACAGAACCTTGTCAGGTTGCGGCACAGACGCGCGGCGTAGACACATACCGTCTATTTTAGACACTCGTTGTGCCCGAGTGAACTTGCGTTTGATGAAGTAGAAGATGCCCAGCGTTGCAAGGAGCAGGAGTCCTATCGCCGCGCCCACCGTCCCGCCTATAATCGCTGCGGTGTTTTGCCGATTGTCAGACGTGGAGGCCCCACCCCCAGCTGATGAGCTCCCCGAAGGTGCAGATGCCACTGGCAAGGTCATTGTCGACCTAGACAAGATCAGCCACACGTAATTAGAATAAACACTCAGGCTGGCAGGAGCGTTGGAGACGTACCCATCAGACGGCGTCCCGGTAGCAGGGTCTGAAGAGATGTACCAAAACCGATCCAGCCATAACGAAGTGGGCGACGTCCCGTTCAAGTTCGTGACCACGAGAGTGTGTACGCCGGGCGCGAGCGTGGGGGAAGTGAAATACGTCACGTTGTACTCCATGGCATCTGGTGACGCAATCGGCTCGTCGTTGACGGCATACGTCGCGCCGTCGATAACGAACGCCTCCGACGGCCATCCGTACATGCCGGTGTTTCCGCTGCAGCCCACGACGCCAACCATGGTCCCTGTGAACGAGTCATATTAGTTGTCGGCCGAGACGGATAGGAAAAGAGAAGGGTTACCTGTGAACGTCAAAGTGGCCGACATTCCCCCCGCCGTTGCCCAGTGGAGGGTGCCATTGTATGCACGATCGTGCCCGGCCAACCTCCAGCCACTGGAATACTGTACTTGAGGATCACGATCATCCACGTCGATGCGGTTTCCTGGTGCGCTCATGGCAAGATAAATGCGACCTGTTTACGGTGGCAGAGCTGGGTTGGCGAGTCGGACTCAGAGCGAGTTGGGGAGCTTGTCAAAACGGCAGATACTGCACCAGGTATATATAGGCAGACCGCTCTGTCGCACAGCATACACCGTAGACAGCTTGGCGCCGGCAGCGTCAGTATATCATCACTCCGAGTTTTTTGCCACTTACTCAACTGCCTATCTTCTGAATGCAGTTATGGATGCTCCTGATGGATAGGTGTCTGATTGGACGCCACGATGCAAGAGATGCGAGCATAGGTTTTAAGGTTATGCGGGCGGCGAGCGGGTGGGAGCGAGCTAGTCGCGCTGTCTGTTAGATCTCACACGGCTTCGATACTGAACCCCAGCGAGAAACGCGCATTTCCGTACGGATCCAGACATATATAGAAATATATAAGTAGTTTCATTTCCCAATTAGGAAGCGTAGCGGCACCTTTAATTTTGGCGCGACATGCTTCTGTTGTGAATCGGCGTCAATTTATACCAACACCTCTCTTAACAAGACAACATTCTATATGTAAAGTATTGCCGTACTCCTTCTCTACGCCAAGTACCAGGATGCCCTCATTCGCCCCCCGCCATCATCCAAACACCCGCCCGAACAGTCCAGGGCACTCGTTCAACATCGTTCCGTGGTTCTCGATCTGACCAAAGCACGCATCTGACAGATGGCACAGCAGGCTATCCACATCTAGAGGTAATGTACCTCCCCTACCGCTCGCTTTTGAGTACAGCTCTCACAAACATGCCGAATTCACAGCTGCATTCACCGTCGAATACGATGCACACACAGGCACACGCATGCACGCTTGACTACTGCGGAACCTTCTCCTGACATAGAAGGTACAGCCCATCTGCGCGCGGCTCAACTGGGTTATGCAGCTCACTATTTTGCTCATTCCGTAGTATGCCCCCTTCAGGTTGGCCTGTCTCTTCTGTCTCGAGTCTGACACCAACAAGATGGTCTCCACAAGAACAAGGTCACCGCGCGGTCGCATCGTACGCGCGTGCAACGTGCATGATATGAGGTATGCTTGAGCGCAGTTGTGTCATTCAGTACACATGTATATAAGGTCCCACAACGCACGACAGTATTCAGCATACCCATTCTCCCGCTTTGCCAGAAACAGTAAATCTAAACGAGGTCCGAGCCGGCGACGGGAGGAGCTAGACGAGGACGGTGCTTCAGTGGGAGAAGAACTCATAGATTGCATAGCTAGGTACCTAGACGAGGACTACATGGAATCAGTATGTGGACATATGGAGACAGAAGCTACGGAAGTACTCACCGGTGCTTCAGTGGGAGAAGAACTGAAGCACCGGTCGGGGAGACGAGCGGTATATGTGAGCGCGTACACGAGGCGAACGCGTGAGCGGGATCGTCCGAGATATGAGGAACGAGGCAAGAGGAGAGAGCATAGGCGCCTAAGCGCGCGACTACCATAAGGGGAGAACATACGCTAAACAGGTGCGCGAGCGTCCGTCGACGCTTGCTATCCAACACTCCCCCTCAAGCGAGACGGAGTCCGAGCAGCGCGGCGAGCATCGCAAGACGCGGGCGCGCGAGCGGCTTCGTGAGGATGTCGGCAACCATCTCGTTGGTTGGACAATACTCGAGGGCGAGCGTGTGGTCGGCGACGTGAGAACGGATGAAGTGATACCAAATGTCGATGTGCTTCGTGCGTGGGTGGAAGACGTCGACGTTGCGGATGAGTTTGAGTGCGCTTTCATTGTCACAGTAGAGGACCGTCGGACTGCGGGCGGGGGTAGTGAGCTCGGACAGAAGATGGCGCAGCCACAGGGCCTCGCGCGAAGCGTCGGAGGCGGCGATGTACTCGGCTTCGGTCGTGGACAGCGCAATGATAGGCTGCTTATGAGAGCGCCAGGCGATTGCGCCACCCGCGTATAGGAATGCATAGCCAGAGATCGAGTGCCGGTGTGCTTGCGAGGTCGTTGGCGACGTTTGGCAGCAAGCTCGAGCCAAGGTGAGCGCTCCGACTTTGCCGGACTGAGTATCCGCGGCCCGTCTCTCCGCCGCTCCGCCTCTCTCTGCTCGACGCCTTTGCTCCCAGACGACTCAGAACTCGTACTCCTCGACGCCCCTGTTTTGATACACACATATGGTTCTTCAGTACAAGACCTGAGTACTTATATGCTGATACTCCGAAATATCCAAATGATATTTGACCCCAGCAACGGACGCAGACGCGTCACACTCCTCGGCGAGTGGTAGTAAAACAACAATGATAGGTATGTTAAGAGAGAAAACGCTATAGCGTGCGATGCTGAAAAGACTGTCGATCCTGCGGGAGTGGTAGAATGCGAGAAAATAATATATAACTTAATGCTTAGTCCTGTGTGTACGGTGGCGGCAGCACCACGTCGTCGTACAGCCGCAGCCCCGAGTCCACATCCCTCGACGCGACTGGCAGTTCGTCACTTGGGACCGTGCGGGAGCCGCTGCGCGAGAAGAGCGAGCGGAGCAGCGTGTGCGCGCGGCCGTGCGAGTCCGGGGGCGCGTGCCACGCGCCGGGAGGGATCGCCGCGGCGGGCGGTATGAGCGTCGCGCCGCTCGCGTTCGAGAATGCGGGGGATGGTGGGGGATGAGGCGTACTTGGGGTATATAGGGACGCTGGGCGCGTGCTGGGGTCGGTGGAGAATCCGAGCGATGGCGTGCCGTAGCCCTTCTCTGAAGTCGCAGACGGGTGGTATGATGTAGAGGGCGGTGGGGCGCGGGTTGGAGAGGTCGAACGTCCCTGTGGGGAGAGCAATGCGGACCCGCTCGACGCGGACAGCGAGTAGAATTCAGAATGGTCTCCGACGCTCTCGGATGCGACTTCTGAAGGTGACGCGGGGGGATGCTCGGAGTGGCTGGCGTGCGAGACGGGGAGGACCGCGGCCGCATTCGCCGAGTTGTACCGCATCGCGGGAGCAGTCGCGCCTGATGCTCGCGGTGCAGGGTGTTGGGTTGGGTCAAAAGGAGTGGCTGTTTTCGCTGGAGAACAACTGTCAGAACATGTACAAGGTTTGCGCGTGAACGTTGTCCCCACGCGGAACAACTGGACGTACCTTGTGTGGCAGATACACGCCTGCGTCTTAAACATAGGAACACGATGACAAGAATAGCGAGTATGGCGACACCGGCGACCGCGGCCCCAGCGATGACCCCCACATTCAATTGCGATGTGGATGCAGCATCGGAACTGCTGCTGTTTGTTGGGCCTGCTGCGGAGGTTTGGGCAGCTCCCACCGGCGTCGCGTTGCTCACGGGCGACACGATCGTTTCAGTCCCGCTCACTGAGGTCACATACTGGATGGCGGCAACCGAGCTCCCGGTGATAGAGGACGCTGACGACGAAGCGGGAGTGGTGCTATTCGTCAGACTTGACTGCGAGCTGATGGTCGGCGTTGTCTGGGAGTTACTTTGAATAGATGTCGCCGTGTGGGAGCTGGTACTTGTCGTGGTAGCCAGGACGTTGACGGTGACAGTCGGCTGAGTATGAGTCGTCGTAACCGGCCGCACGTTGTTGACCGTGGTAGTCGGCTGGACGTTGGCCGGCTGGGTCGGCGAGTGAGCAGTCGTCGAGGTCGAGGTCGTAGTCGCGACCGGCTGCTTGTCAATGAGGAAGTAGTCGAGCCAAAATGTATTCGGATGCGTCCCATCCGTATTGTTGATGCGCACGATATGGTCCCCCGACGAGAGGTTCTCCATCGTGAAGAACGTCACGTTGTACGTCGTCTGCGCCGTGTGCGGCGCGCTGTACGAGCCCACCAAGTTCCCATCCACCCAGTAGTCCGTCTTCGGCTGTCCGTACGTGTTCGAATCCCCCAGCGTGCCGATCACGCGCACCCCGGTGCCTGCAAGGAAGGCGTTCGCGGTCAGACCGGACAACTTGAGTGCACGGAGTGGGATGGGCTCACCGGTGAACGAGAGGTATGCGACGATTCCTGCGATGGCAGCGCCGTGCCGGGTCGCGTCCACCTCGGCGACGCCCTGGTCCCATATCCAGCCGGCCTGGTACTGCACGCGGGGGTTCGTGTCGTCGACCAACTCAGTGGCCATGGCCGTCGACCTGAGGCCTTCGCGGTCGTCCTGAAGCGCGAGCCGGCGCCAGCGAGGAGGTTACTAGGGAGAGAAAAGGAGGGTGGGAGTATCTGCGGGCGATAGGGTTATATGGCGGCGAGGTTCGACGTCGTGGGCCGCCGGCTTCATCTTGATGGCACAGGGCGTGATGGCTGTTGATGGGAAGGGATCTGTCAAGAAGTCAGTATCAGGGCTGAGAGAGGAAGTAACGTCGGTGATGCGCTATACGCAGCAGGGGCAGCCCGTGCGTGGAAGCTGTGCACCCTGGGGATGGAGGTCGTATATGGTGATGGGGCGCGCATCCGCGTTCCCAGTCGACCGCGCCCACAAAGATGATGTTCTGTGAGCCGTAACGCCTCGAAATGAGGCTTACGCCGCCCGCCAATAGCCCTGCAAGAGTCGACGCTGTGGGGTGTTTCACCCGATGAATTTAGGTGATACATGAGAGTAGCACATAGACCCACGCAAGGACTCGGAGTTTGTATTGATTCTGATGAGCCTCATAGCAAGCCACGCAGCATCGAAAACCCGCGCATGATGCGGGCCTGGGGATCAACAAGGACGCAGGTTCGCCGGCGGCGAGCTCAGAGCTGTACCATGGATCCAGGATGGACCCACAGCGACGATACGATGGACTCGACACTGCACCTCGCAACTTATGCTGTCCTTTCGGAGCCGTTCACATCGCCACGGCGAGTGCGCTAGCTTGAAGACAGCGGTGATCGATTGATCGCCTATTGCGACGAGTGAGATCTGACCGCGATCGACGAAGGCAGCAGACAGATGGGAGGACATAGTTGCCATGACGTGTACTCGTACCTTTCCCTGTAGCTTGGGTTGCCGGCGGTGATATCGGCTGCGCGGTGCATGCGGAAGGGTGCATACGAAAGATATTGTATGCGCGCATAAGAAGGCTCGATGGGCGACGCGCGAACGTGTTCTATCGCTTAGTTGCGTATGACCTGGCGTGCGATTATTCAATAAATCGCGCTCAGCATGAAAAAGGGGGGCGGACGCACCGGAACACCAGTAAAATCGTGCTAATTTACACAACGTCTGTGGAGGTGCCTATTTCAGCTTTACCCCATCCTGAACTACGAGTACGAGCAAGGATACGCACTACAAGCCGGAACAGTGCCTGAACCCTGCCTCAGAACAGGTCCGTGCCCTCTGAATATCCCTCAGCAATCACAATTTCGATCACGAACTTCGCAATCCACTGAAGAGGAATCCTTCGTATGCGGGACCGGAAACCGGGTATCTCACGACAGGAACGCTATTTCCCGGGCGGTTGCAGATGTGCATTGAGATCGCTACGGCATTGCCCCGGGCGGAGGGGACTGCTCGGTGAACTCACTCCCTATGCGTCGAGTCCGTGGGGGACCTGATCAAGGACCTCAGGCGTATCGCGGCTGATCGATTTCGGGGCGGCGATTGTCGTCTAAACAGCCAGGACTTCCCCAGGCTGGCTCTACCACTGGCCGGGATTCTATTTGGTCGGGTGGAGGTGACGGTTGGAGCGCGGGATTGGGTTGCCACGTCCCCCACGACTGGTCCTAGTGCGTGGGATATGATGGTGTCTTGTACAAGGTAGGCGCTGGCCTGCTGGGGCCTGCTTGGTATCCGCGGACGCCGACCAGCAGCAACAGCGCGACGGCTTAGTTCCTGAGCCTCAGGCAGCGAAGGTGGGGTGAGTTGGAATGAGGGATTTGGCTGCCACGTCGTCCATGACTGGGGTTGCAGGACCCGGTGCGTGCCGTATGAACGCTCCACGCCAGACGCCACTCGCAGATCAGCATTGGCCTGACGAGGGCTGGTAGATGGAGGGGGGGAGGGTGGGTTAGGGTTTAACGTTTAGGGGTTAGTCGGACGCCATGACGGACTGAGAGTGACGGGCTATAACAGACACTGAGTCCAATGTTGCTGCGGAGGGGTGTATGTGGAGCACCTCGCAGGCTTGGTTGAGGTGCGTGTGCGACTCCGAGGTAAGTAGTGGCACGGTCCACTGATTGATGAGGCAGGATGTCGCGCTTGAGACGTCGCGATGTGTTGAACTCGGGAGAGCCTGATCCGGTCCGAGCTGATCCTGCGAAGGGATGGACTTCAGAACTGCGAGAAACAGGGAATCAGTAACGTATGGCAGGACATCCTGTGTAGGAAGAAGAGGGGTCGCGCACCATAATTGCGACGCCTGCGTCGGCGCTTCACGCACCATATCAGAATAACTGATATGGCGAGAACGGAAGCGCCAGCTACTGCTGCCAACGCTAACCCGACGATGGACGGGTGTGTTGTATGCGTCGACGATATAGGGATAGGACTGCCTGTGGTTATCTCGGGTGCGGTTGACGTCGACGCCATCGTGGGCAAATCCTGGCTGTTCTGGATCACTCCAGACACGGAAGGAGTTTGGGAGGCAGGCAGAGCAGTCGAGTCGGAAGAAAGCGCAGAATGTGAGAACAGGGCCGAGGAGGTGGCGATAGCTGAGGAGGTGGCGGTAGCCGCGCTCGAGGGGCCGTTAGAAGATGAATTATGACTTGACGTTGAAGTGAAAGTGGAAGAAGCTAAGAAGGGAGAGGTCGTCGAACGCGGTGGGTCCGGGGTCGCAGAAGGAGGTGGGGTCGCAGCAGGAGGCAGAGTCGCAGCAGGAGGACCTAAGGACGGCTGGCCAGTGTCGACAAGGAAGTAATCTAGTACGAAAATTTGTGGGCCGGTCCCGGTCCCACCCTCCATCGTGATGGTCACGGTGTGGTCTCCGAAGGGCAACGTCGGCGACGTGAAGAAAGTGACATTGTAAAATACGTCTCCCAGCGCAGTGAACGGCGCACTGTAGGTGCCCTGCAGAACGGTGTTGATGAAGTACGCCGTGTTTGGCTGTCCGTGCGACGATGAGTCGTCCCGGGTACCGACGACGCTAACACGTGTGCCTATGCGCGAAAACGTTGAGGATCCGGAGGGTGATATGAGCGCCGTGAGCGATAGTGCGCTCACCGGAGAAAGTCAATGAAGCCGTTAACCCTCCCTGAGATGCCTCGTGTCGGGTAGAGTCGACCTCGACGATACCCGAACCCGAGTCTTCTGACCAACCAGGTGAGTACTGAATACGGTTGTCGCCGTCGTCTACCAGGACGGTGCTAGTGTCGAATGATGGCATGCCTGAGTCCCTGGATAGACGGAGCGGTCTCCTTCTGGCGGTGTCCCTGGAGTGGGGGGTGTAAGAGTAGAGAGTCCAGCTAGTGCGCGGCATGCAGGGCCTTCTTGTATGTCAAAGGAAAGCGATACTGATCAAGAAACGTTCGCACCGACAGCCTCGCTTCCTCAAAGCGCAGGGAGATGCTCTCTTACGGGTGGTCACTACGCGGTGCGTGCAATGGATCATCCCTCGTTTGTCAATTTGATAGTATTAGGCAGATGCCCTTCGGAGTGGTAAGAGACTTACCATAGATTGACCCGGGACGGGGTCTGAGGGGATACGAGTGCCTTGCATGGTCGCGAAAAACACCACTCTAACAGATTCAAGATGTGGTGCTGTTCGATGTGTTCCTTGCAGATGGCGCTAAGGATCACGTCTCCGGTTTGTAGGATCTTGTCTAGGGACGCCACAACGGGTGACTTTTCATCTTGCGCCTCTGACGGGATGGGCTATGGAACGAAAAGGAGTCAGTGGACTTCTTCAATTGGCCTCGAGCGGGAACATTCACTGTACCGCGCAACTAGTTCGATAATTCACACGGTCAAGATTTAGAGTTGCAGACATAATTGTACATTCCTGACACCACAACTCACCTTTTAAAACTCAGGCATGCCCTGTCGTTGCTCGTGCTGCCTCTGACGGTGACTCATGTGGAAATTTGAAGGGGTGACCCCTTATGCCGTGTATGAGATGGTCTGCGACGCGCCGAGCGGCCATCCGAGGACGCGCGAGAGCTGCGGAAAGACGGGCGTGGCTGGTCATAGTGCAAAGGAGCCCGTCCACAAAGAAGTTACGGGCATGACGCGCCTACCTCTGGTAGCGCCAAGAAGGCGATTGCGTCCTGTGACGCAGCGCGTCGGAGCGCTGCCAGTGTGTGCTGCGGTCGCTGCGCCTATGTGGTCGAGTTTCGCCCGGTGCCGCCCGAGCGAGACGCGCGGTAAGAGGTAGAAGACGAGAGAGACGTGTTGGCGAAGCTGCGACGAGGTCCGGAGAAGTGCAGGTTCCGAGCGCCGTCGACCACAAGCAGTGCGCCGTGCGGGCGATCAGACGGTCAATGGCCAAGACTAGGCAAAGTCAAGATCGAAGTTGCGGGCTTCGGGGTCCGCCTACGCAAGGCCCCGGGGTCGGTGGTCAGTGGTCGGAACACGGAGTTGCTCTACGAGTTTGAGCGGAACGTTTTCCGGATAGATCTGAGCTCAAACTTAGCACCAGAGCAACTAGAGGGAAGCAGCCTGGAGTAAGCCAGATGTGACTGAGAAGGCCTTGCGCCGGTGGAGGGAGTGCCTAGCAAAATCATCACGAAGACGTTGAATGCTTCCGAGTTCTGACCCACAGGGAAGGCGAGCCCAGGTTCGAAGCACGGGTTGTTCCAGCGAAGTGCGTTCCGCGCCAGAACATACCAGAGGCTAACTAAGCGCGTCCGGAGTCCGAAGCCCGAGGACGGAGCCGTTCAAGAAGCTATCTGCATCTGTGGTTAATCATGACATAAGGAAGGGACTGATGCTTCACAAGCAGCGCACAAAGTACTCACCGAACCGCCAGCAGGCGCCAGAGAAGAGGAACGCGGCGCTCGGTCCCGCACGCCGCGGACTTTGCGAGAGCGTTCTGTGGTTGGGCTGTCAATTGGGTGTCTTTCTTGTGGTCGTGCTTATAGATCGAAGAAGGATGACAGCGTTTGCCCCTAACTGCGGTGTGGCGGTATTCAGCATATGTACCGGAAGCAGCACGTACCGTAAGATGCCTACGGAAAGCCGTGCATTGGCCAGAGGCGCGAAGGTGACCGTATGGAGATACATGGAACCTCGATGCATTTCGTGAGCATTGCGGCGACTAATTGCAGAGACACGTCGTGCTGCGTACTTCCTGGCGTGTGGTACGCGGTACAATGCAGCGCGACGTGTACTATTAATTGCCGTTCTGGGTATTGGACGTAGGCTGAGGAGCGCAGCGGTGTGACATGGAATGACAGAGGCGGGGGCTGTAGCAGCCATAGAGGGGCTTGCATTGTCTGCAGAGTGTCGAGTTGTTGTGCTGCGGGTCTGAAGCGAGAGACAAGGGACGCCGCCGACACCACCGACAGCCTGTCACTGTCAGGAAATACTACAAGAAAACAACGGTTCAGTAAGACGTCACATACGACTCGCACAGAGAAACGACGCGATATTCGTGGCGTCGGTTGCTCACCTGTACATACACGGACAAGCCGCAAGGCACGGGAGGCTTGCCATCGCGCCCGGCGGCGTCACCACCATTCTCGACATTCAGATGGACACAGCGGCCATGGCGGGGACTTCGAGCGCGTGTAGCGTCGCTGGCGAGACGTCTGTGCACACAGCATCCGTAGCGTAGAATATGTGGCGATGAACACGGTGGCGGGAGGCAGGAGGCGGAGGAGAGCGAAAACACTGCCACAGCATGGGCGCCAGCGCGCCTTCGGCTGTCATCGCGGGCGTGCTCTTCTCCCTCTCACCGCCATCTCCCTCCTTCCCAACCACCCACGACCACAACAAAGCTCGCCCAAAGAAAATGCCTGATTCTCTACGCGGAGCCTCCGAGCGTCTCGTATGTGCACTGGTATCCAGCTGCCTCCGGCACCGGCCAATCGCCCTCCGAAAAGGGAGGAGATGATCTGGAGAAGCAACATATTGCCCCCGCCCCCGCTTCCTTGCAAGCAACCTCCATCAACGACGCGTCCAGCTGTCCGGAGGTCCACTCAGCCTGAGCCGTTGTGCAGCCCGCTGCTGGCCGACTCTGGTCAAGTCCGAGAGTCTTCATCAAGCTGTCCATCAAGGTGAGACGTTGATTCTTATCGATATCGTTTCCAATTCCCCTCCCCCCTTTCCCCCGCTCAGGGCGGCCCACTTTTTCTTTCTCTTGTTCTCCGCTCGTGCGCGCCCGGGCGTGGACTGATGCAATGTCGTGATGCCACGCAGCTGCAGCCACCGCGCGCGGAGTCACACGTCCCGTCGTGACTTTCAAATCCGATATATTGCGCGCACGAGCGATCGACCACTTGCTGTGCTCCCTCTCTCTCGCTTTCTCGACCCCAGCCCCCTCGCCTCCGCCTCCGCGCCTCCGCGCCCCCGACGCACTGCCTGCGCCCTCCGCCCTCGGTCGTTCAAAAGCTCCTACCTGGCGTAGACTTGTCCGTGCCCGACCACTTGCCTCTCTTGGCCTGAGCTGCGGTACCGATTGTCTGTTTCCCGCTTCTGGACACACCTCTGACTTGTCTGCTTTCTATAAAGGGCCGTGCTCGAGTGCTCACCAGCGACCTCACCACTTTACCCCCAACCACCACCACGATGGCCTCACCTTACGGCTACTCGCAGTTTTACTACCCAACGCCCTACCTCTACCCTTACTACCACCAACCCCATGTGTCGCCGTTCATTCCTCCAGTGATGCTCCCGGGCTCCCCGCAGATGCCCCCGCGCGACGAACGGCGTGTGCACTGGGACGACCAGCCGTACCAGCGGCAGCGCCGGCCCTCCTGGCACGGCGGCCTCGTCCCGCCGCCCAACCCGCAACCATTCCCCTCACCCCCGATCATCGTCACTCCTCTGCCGCAAATGGTCCCGCTTTCGCCCCAGACGCAGCCGTACTACATGCACCAGCGCCGCGCGTCCGACAGCTGTCTCCCACAGCCGGCGTGGGTGACGTTCCCGACGATGGTGCAGCCCGTCGCGTTCCAGCATCCCTCCCCGCCTGCCCCGGCGATCCACCCTCTGCTTAACGGCGAGAATGCGGGCGGGCCGATGCTCCTGTTCGACCTGTCGCTCAACACGTTCAGCCCGCAGCGCGTGACCTCGCTCTCGCAGACGTCCGGCACCCCGCTCACGCTCGACGAGCTGCGCGAGCCCGCGACGTACCCGACCGTGCACCGGATGACGATCATGTGCGACCGCATCCCCGAGTGGCCGATCGTGCTCGAGCCGCATTCCACGTCGCGTGAGCGGTCTCGCGAGCGGTCGCCGTTCCTCGGGGTGCCCGCGGGTCCGGGCATGGACGAGCCGATCACGGTGTACGACGTGCTGATGGCGATCCACCGGACGGTGCAGCGGCAGATCTCACACGTCGACTGGGCGCGGCTGTCGAGCACGCAGACCCGCGCGGTGTCGGCGGCGTACACGCGGCGCTGCAGGACGTTCCCCAGCGCGGCCGCGTTCGAGGAGGCGCAGGGCGTGCGGCGGGTGGATTACTTGCTGGACCAGTACATGTTCCGCGGGCTCGTGCGGGACAACATGCGCGACGGGTTCTCGAAGATGAAGCTGATCCTCGGGCCTGGGTCGAATTCGCGGTAGTCGTCGTTGCTGTGATGATGGACGATCCTCCGACCCCACCACGGAGGATGACCGCCCGCGCGCGGGGATCGTCAAGACGATTGTAATATGCGCAGCATCATCCGCGCCTCTGGAGCTGATGGACACGACACCACCCACCACTACTACGGCTGAACGGTCTTTTTCTGGCTTCCTGCGACGTCTGCTATGGCCGCTAGGGGCAGGACGCTGGGCTCGGTGCGGCAGGCTCGGGCTGCGGTTAACTTATGGGCCGACTGCGCTATACCCCCGGTGCTTGTTGCGTAACTTATACTGTATCTGGCTAATGTTACGATGCTGCGTTGTCGATCGATATCTGGGTAGGCATTGCTGTTGCGCTTTCGGTTACGACGTACTCATGTATTATGACCAGAATGTGATGTGCTATAGACGATATACTAGGTTTATTAGGCTTGGGTGGTCCTGCGTCCGGGGATGTCTATGTGGTATACTATGCTTTTACAAGTACTATGGTGGTTCCTCTCGTGGTGCGGTCGTACACGTACGAAGGTGATATGTTTACGAAATATACATGTATGCGGGAACCCGTTCGCCGCATCTGCTGGGTAAATCGTTGCATTTCGGGCGATTTGGGCCTCGCAATGGCGACCTGACCTCTGCCCCTCTCACGCATCCCACTCGAGCTGCAACAAGTTCAGAGTGGGATGAATCGAGGCCGCCAAGCGATAGGAACGCAGCGGAAAGGCGGGTAGATAGGGTTAGGGCTCATCCCCCCGGCCCTCCGTCATACGGCAACGTTCTCCCGGCGCAGGGCTCGGCTTTGCGCGCCCCCGCCCCGCGTGCTCTATTCACACCCCTCCTCTGCTTTATACCGCGACCCGCCCCCGCGCGATGCCCCTCGCTCTCAGACTCTCTCCTGCCCTCGCTGCGCCCCGCCTCAGGACCCGGTTCGTGCCCCGACACTCGCTCTTCAGATACAGGATGGCGTCCACTTCTGCTGTACGTGCGAGCGCTGCGTCCAGGCATTCGCGGGCTGGACTGACTCGGAATGCGCGGTAGTTTGGTCTTAAAGACCCGTCGCTCGTGCGCACGCAGGCATACATTGGAGGGAAATGGGTCGACGCGAAGGAGGGCGGGACTATCAAGGTCACCAGTAAGTCGCGCTCGCGCCTCGTCTGTCAAGCAACTAGGCACACAACACATCTCGCGCAGACCCCGCGACGGAGGAGGAGCTGGGGACTATCCCTGAGATGGGCCTTGCGGAGACGAAGGAGGCTATTGAAGCTGCTGCCACCGCGTTCAAGACGTGGAGCAAAACCACTGCCAAGGTCCGTCTGGAGCTGTCGTTTCCCGCTCTAACCGTACTGAGTGCCCGTATAGCACCGGCATGACGTCCTCAAAAAGTTCTTCGGGCTCATGCAAGAGCACCAGGACGACCTCGCGCGTCTCATCGTAAGCCTTGCTCCTCCCCTCGAGACTCGGTGTGCGCCTTAATTAAGCATTGCGCAGACTCTGGAGAACGGCAAGCCGCTCGCGGAGGCCAAGGTACTGTACTCTCGCCCAGGGTCACACACGCAAGCCCGCCTCTGACGTCGCGTCGCGCAGGGAGAACATGCGTACAGCGCGTCTTTCATCGAGGTAAGCCGTCGCGTGGTGTTCTCGCGAGGACCGTCAATGAATGCTGCTGCAGTGGTTCGGTAAGACGCGCGTTTGCGGCGTGCACCGCGGGGCACTAATCTATGTGCGCATGTATAGCTGAGGAAGCCGTTCGGACCTACGGAGGTGAGCCGTGATGCTTGTCCTGTCTGGCACTTCTTGCTGAAGGCGTACTGTGGGCGGTAGAGACCATCCCGTCGCCATTCCCCAACATCCGCAACGTTGTCATCAAGCAACCTATCGGTACGTCCCTTTCTCATTTCGCGCGCAAACTCATATCTGACGTCATACACAGGCGTTGTGTACGTTGTTTATAACCTTCACCTGCGAGATGAACTCACGAGACCGTACTTGACAGCTCCATCCTCACGCCCTGGAACTTCCCGTCCGCGATGATCACCCGCAAGCTCGGCGCGGCCCTCGCCGCGGGCTGCACCGCGGTCATCAAGCCCCCCGCCGAGACGCCGTTCTCCGCGCTCGCGCTCGTCGAGCTCGCGACGCGCGCGGGCGTGCCCCCGGGCGTGATCAACGTCGTGACCACGCACGCGAACGTGAGCGAGGTCGGGCGCGAGATGTGCGAGAACGTGGCGGTGAAGAAGGTGTCGTTCACGGGCAGCACGCCCGTCGCGAAGATGCTGTATGGGCTCGCTGCGGGGACGCTGAAGAAGTGTGTCGTATTCGCTTCTAGCATTTTGTGCGATAGCTGAACCAGGGCGGTTCCTGCAGGGTATCCATCGAGGCGGGCGGAAACGCGCCGTTCATCGTGTTCGATGATGCCGACATCGACGCGGCCGTAACGGGTGCGTAAATGCTTTCACAGGATGGCGCACGCATTGACTAGCGCCTCTCAGGTGCGATTGCATGCAAGTTCCGCGGCACGGGCCAGACCTGCGTGTGCGCGAACCGGATATACGTGCAGTCGTCCGTGTACGCCGACTTCGCGTCGCGCCTCGCCGAAAAGGTCGCTGCGTTCAAGGTCGGCAACGGCCTCGACAAGGACACGTACGTATCGCCCCCCATGCAAACATGTGTTCGAGCGCTCACGCTCATTCGGTCACAGCACGCACGGACCGCTGATCCACGACCGCGCCGTCGAGAAAGTCGAGAAGCACGTCGAGGACGCGCTCGCGAAGGGCGCGCAGCTCGTACATGGGGGCAAGCGCCTCCCCGGCGCCGGCTCGTTCTTCGCGCCCACGGTGCTCGCGGACGTGCCCGCCGACGCGCTCGTGAACTCGGAAGAGACGTTCGGGCCGCTCGCGGCGCTGACGAAGTTCGAGACTGAGGAAGAGGTGTTGCGGCTCGCGAACGCGACGTCTGTCGGCCTCGCGGGGTACTTCTTCTCGCGCGATGTGGGACGGGTATGGCGCGTCGCGGAGGCGCTGGAGGTCGGTATGGTCGGTACGAACACGGGCGTGATCAGCCAAGCCGTTATTCCCTTCGGAGGGGTCAAGGAGAGCGGGCTCGGTGAGTATCTCCATATTCAAATCAATCGCGAGTGCTGACGCGTTCGCGACGCAGGCCGGGAGGGCGGCCACGGTATCGAGGAGTACATGAACACAAAGTACATCGCGTTCGGCCTCTGAGCGGGGCGGCGCGCGGAGAAGTCATAGCGGGTCTGCCGCGGCCGGTATGTGCAAGGCTACCCGGTCCGTGTTTGTTGTCTCGATGTAGCACTATGCATGTTGCGAACACATTGAACAGTCAATTTAACTACCTTCATGATCGTTTGTCAGAAGCGCCATGGGAGCTGCGTCGGGCGCCCAAGTGGTGCGGGATTGACAGATCCCCGTTCTGCGACTGCGACTGCGAACCACACGGGCGCTGTCGTCGGCGGTGCGACGAGCGGTGCCGTGCTCCTCATGCTGATTATATCCCTCTTTGCCTGCCAATGCTTTCAGATGCGGGAAGACAACCGGGATAACGTTGACGGTGAGCAAGAGCCCTTGTATCCCGAGAGCAGATGCTGATACATCATGGTGCAGGAAGTTGACCCTAGGCTTCGTGTGGCGGGCTTTGCCCCCGCCGTACACACCGCACTGATGGCACAGCACCGTGGTCCCCTCGCAGTAGGATTTCCAGCCACATATATCACGACTGTGCGCAGGTGGGGCAGCGTTGCCAATGTACTGGAGATCATGAGTATGACAGCTCCTACGCGGTAACCTACCGTCCCTGCATTATGCTGTCACATAGAACGTAAGGCTCAAGCTGATATACAGGATGCCCAATAGTCCGCGTCTCTGATCCGGCCCCCTTACCTCGACTCGACGCTCCCTCTGGTTCTGGCAACACCCCTATTACTTTCATATCCCTCATGAGTTCTTCAAGGACCCGTGTTGATATCGACGACGCTGATCCACGCATCCACTACTCCGCTGGCTGGTCGACCGGAAAAGATGGCAACGCGTACGGTCGAACTCTGCACTACGCACAGTTTGCGGGGTTGACAGCCACCCTGAGGTTCAATGGTACGCATTTTATATCGCGCCGCTTCTCGGTCAACACTTGATACCCCGGCGTATTACAGGCACAATGGTCGGCATCATGGGATGCGGAGGCGACACAGCCTCGATTGGCTATCCGTCAACGTCGATCGTCATCGACGGGAAGAACGCGAATCTCTTCCGGATCACCACCAACACCCCCACATCGCCAGCCGCCCTGAGCTACAACCTCACTCTGTTCTCCTCGACTACCCTTCAACCCGGAGCACACACTATTGTGCTCACAAACCTCAACGAGACTTCGCCGAATCTGTTCGTACTAGACCGGTTCTGGTACATCGCTTCGGACGCCTCAGATGCAACGAGCGTGAGCGAAGTGCTCGGGCAACCTTCGGCGTGAGTAACCAACCGTCCTAAAACGCGACCAGCAAGAACAAACAAGTCTGACTGGGCTTTTTAGGACAGCTTCGGCGACCCCGCATGCTTCAACGGCCACTCACCCCCCAAACATCGGAGTCATCGTCGGCGGGGCTGTTGGCGGGGCTCTAGCACTCCTTCTGGCAGTTCTGGGCACTTACTGCTTCATGAAACACAAGACGATTCGACGGAGTCCTAGGCCGATCTGTATGTTTCTACGTTGCGTATACGCTCACATGCTTGCGCTGATGATACTTTGCGTGCGGTAGCGTTCATAGAGAGCGAACCGGTCTGCTCTCCCGCGAGTATGAAGCGCATATCACCATTTGTCCTCACAGCGGCAGCACCCCCTTCTCGATCTACTGCAATGACTCCCTCATCCGGCAAAGATCTGGTACCTTCGCTTCAAGCACCCGAAGCTGTAGCGTTGTCGGCCTCACCAGATATCGGATCTGCGCCACGAGAGCCCCCTTTCGTGCCCCGGACTTCGCCGTCGGATTCTGAATTCACACTGAGAGCCATGTATTCACCGAGATCGCCTTCAAAGGACTCACCTCCCCCAGAGCATACGTCGGAACACGGTTTACTATCCCCTTCGCATTCGTCAGTGGACGAAGGCTCCCTCCCTCCGTATACCGAATGATATAAGACTTCGAGAACCTGTTCGAGGGTTGCAGCGTTAGCTCGAGTTCCGCAGCTGAAAGTTCCACGTATTGTCTGCCGTGTGCAAGTATGATGTCACACGGGCCGCCCAACATGCAGATGCTTCGCATATCGACGTGTGTACAAGCGTGGAGTGGCAGGATCACGCACAATGTACGTTCATGGCTCCATCTCTGTCCGCATACACTTACTGCGTGCCCGAGCAGCTATTCATACTCCGGATCAGCACAGCTCATCCTCAACTCCGAAGGACCCTTGCGCTGCTCGCAAATACACTCTCGTATCCAGGCAGACTGAGCTTCTGCTCGGCCAGCTGACTCAACGGATGACAGATCGGAGCCTGTATAAACGCTTCTGTGTGCTCTAATACCGCTCTCACCCGGGAAGAAGGCAGAGCGCTGCAGCAGCGATAGCCTGGATCGCTGCATGGCGTCCACGATGAACATCGTAGCTGCGACGTACCACGAAAACACTCCACGGTCGGCCGGCGAGTTTGATATGTATACGCGAGTCAAGCAGAGTTACACTTACGCCGGTGAGCAAGGCCTCTCTGTTCGGCGATCCGGGATGCACGTCTTCTAAACTATGTTTGATAGATTGACGCCCAGGCGCCTTTTGGTTATAGAGTGAAGGTAAGTACGTCGAGGCACGCTGCTAGTAGCCGATCTACTCCCCCGCTCCAGCTCGCTGCTCAGAAGCGTACAGCGCGATCCGCGTTTACGTCTGCTCTATCCGGTTGCAGTCAATGTCTGTTCGCGTCGAGGTCGACGACCAGGACCCACGCGTCCTATACTCTGATGGTTGGGGACATCAGAGCGACGCGCCCTCTGCATACGATGACACTCTGTCCACCGCGAATCGCGAAGGGATGACCTTGACGCTGAAGTTCTCAGGTACCTATCAAATATTTCTCGTATTTTCTCTCCATCAAACTGAGCGAAATCATGCGCAGGAACACTTGTCGCAGTCGTGGGCTGCGGAGGAGACGTAGCGGCCTACGGATACCCTTCCGTCTCCTTCCTCATCGACGGGCAGAACTACGGGACTAGGGTCGACACTCCATCACTCACGGGCTCGTATTACAATATCACCTTCTTCGTCTCCCCGACTCTCCCGGACGGGGAACATACACTCGTGATCACCAACCTGAACGGAACGCAGCCGAACACGTTCTGGCTCGATTGGTTCTGGTATACATCTTCGGCGGTCTCGAATTCCACTTCCGGAAAGTATGTCGTCCCTATCATTATCTTTCTGATCCACATAGCGGACTAACTTCAATGTCTCAGAGCCTCCGCCGCCGCGCCGAGCACTACCACGTCCGGTTCAATTTCAACATCTTTACTGTCCAATACGGCACTGCTCTCTCAACTACCAGCCCCTCCTGCAACAAATACCCCTGTAAGCGCAAATCTTACAGGGAACCACCAAAACCTCGGAGCCATCATCGGGGGCTCGATAGGCGGAGTCGCAGCGCTTCTACTCGCCATATTAGGCGTCTGGTTCCTCAAGCGCAGGTCAGCTCGGAGCACCTGGGGGCCCCAGGCTACTGGTACGTCTCCGTCTACAAGCTACGATCTTCTTGCAGCTAAGATGCGTTTGTGTGCACTAGCGAGTAGACACGTTCCTCCAGAAGAAGCGCTGTTTGTGGGACACACACCCCAGTTCACTCTCCCCGTGCCGTCAACCCCTTCTGGCCCCTCGCCTTCGTTCCTAACCAACGGCAGTTTTATCTCCTCTCCGGCGACAGCGTTAGCCCCCTCGCCGGATAGCAGCCCCCCACAAGAGCGGAACAACCGTCTTTCACCCCTTCTGCCCGACTCGCACACGTCCGATACCGCCGACGCATCCGCCGATACCCCCTCCGCATTTGTCGACAAATCGAATCCAGCACGAACAGACAGTGCTGCTATTTCGGGCCCGGAGAGGACGGTACGCAACAGCGTACGTTCTTGGGGCGGAGAGCTTGACGAGGCGGCTCCTCCGCCATACGAACCCAGCTAGCTGGTCTTGCAAGTCGCAGAAGAGGCTTTCGGATGGCTGCGCGTGTTCCGCTTTTCGTCGATCGTGGGTTTGGTATACTTACCCGTGTGTGCGCCCAGAGTCGGTTGTACTTTTAATTGCAATAGTGCAGTCATTTTCGGGTGGCTGGCGCGCTGACGTTCCGTCTGTGGAGACTCGAGAGCGGCGTTGGAGCAACGGGCCGCGGTGATACTCAGTCCGGAAATGTCGGAGCGCCCACGTGGATCCCAACGGCTGCGGCCGACGTGGTCGTTCTTTGCTACGTACCACTCCCTCGCATACATATGCATACGAATCATCTCTGTATGAACATATTCCCACATCGGGTCGATGCGACTGGCGTCACAAATTGGCCTACACCCCGCTAGGCGCTGTCTCGTGCTGATTACAGCCTTGGTTGCGTTCCGTACTACGCTACTTCCGAATGCAAGAATGACTGGGACAACACTGGTGATAGGCTCATGCTGCCGTGTTTCTGGAGCTCGGACGCTAACACCATACGCGCAGACGTTGCCGCGCGGACGCGATGGAGACTCAGCCGCTCACCCACGGGCTCTTACCATCCGTGCCAAGTAAAACGCCCAACGTCAAGTATTGGCCAGAAGACACCTATCTGTACCTGCCGACACGGAGAATGGCCACGAGCATTCATGCCGAGGCCTCTGCACCTCCGCCTACGGTCGAAGGCTCCGGCGCTGCGCTACCGCTTACTCACTCAAATACACGCGATCGCGCGCTGGCGGAACCTTTCAGACAGCAGCTGGACCCCTCGATTATAGCCGTGCGGCGTTGCCCTGATGAAGGACATGACAGAGTTACAGAACGAGAGCCCGGTGAATCAGAACCCGGGTCGCCGCATAGTGTCCGCAACGAACGCTACGGCTGCGCATGCGGTATGCTGTGCGACTTTATATTTGGCTTGCACAATCAAACTATGTACGCAGGCCAAATGCGCGGGTGTGCGTTGGAACATGCATTACTCGGCGGTGAGTATAGTTTACCCGTGTCATGGTGTGCTATAATACTGGTATGTGCAGTATACATTTCTACTCTTCGCAGATGATGTTTTATCCTCAGGCTGAAGTACCCCTTCTATCAGAATCTGACTAGCCATACCCTACTAGGGCGCCGCCTGGTATCAAACCATATAGCACCGGTAAATCGCAATTCTGCGTGATATAGGCCCCAGGGTACGCATGGACCGTGCTCAGTACTCGAACTGCTCCCCCATCTCACGCTGCATCTCCCCGCACACGCCTGTGGTCAATGTCATCACTGGCAGTTCGCGTCGACGTCGATGACGAGGATCCGCTCGGACGTATCATATACTCCTCAGGCTGGGGCGTGGATGAAGTGGCGGGGGCATACAACGACACATTGCACTGGGCGGAGGGCGGAGGGCTCACCGCGACTTTCAAGTTTACAGGTACGTACATGCTATACCCAATCTGCGCCTTTCTCTATGGCTTACTCTACTGCATCTTACGCAGGGACGCTCGTATCGGTCATGGTCTGCGTAGAGGAGACCAAGGACGGGGGATATCCCTCCGCGTCCTTCGTCATCGACGGGCAGAACTATGGGACCGTAGCTGCCTCTCCGTCCAGCACGGAGTCATTGTTCAACATTACCCTCTTCACATCGCCGAATCTCCCGGCTGGCGAACATACGCTCGTCGTCACCAACTTGAATGGAACGCGGCCGAACGTATTCTGGCTCGACCGGATCTGGTATATATCATCGGCTGTCTCGAACGCCACTTCTTCAAGGTGTGCCCTTTCCAAGACCAACGTCATTCTTATCCATAGTAGACTTACCGCGAACATTCAGCGCTTCCTCCGCAGCGTCGACCGCTGCTTCCTCCGGTCCTAGTCCGAGTCCAGCGTCGTCGTCCCCCAGCTCGGCATCCCCATCTGAGACTCCTGCTCCTCCTGCAATAGGAGTATCTGGAAGCGGAAGTTCTGCAGGGAGCCACGGTCAAAACCTTGGGGCCATCATCGGAGGCTCTGTAGGCGGGGCTGTAGCGCTCATTCTCCTCGCTCTAGCGGGCTTCTACTTCTTCAAACGAAGGTCTGCTCGGCGTGCGGGACAGCCCCATATTACGCGTACGTCACGGCCCTCGCATGACGACGTTTCCGCAGCTCATACTCCCGCAGCGATTGAACACGATAGCCCAGAGGATGCGCCATTTGTGGGACATAGGCCCCAGTTCGCTTTCGCCACACCGTCCACGTCAAACCCCACTGTCCCGTCTTCGTCTTTCCTGGCCAGCGCGAGCATCGTCTCCTCTTCGGCTACAACGACGACTCTCTCGCCGAGTCGCAGACCAACACATGGGCGAGATAACAGCCTTTCTCCGCTTCTGTCCGAGTCACACCCCTCCGACGGCGCCGGCGTATCCGCCAGTAACCCCTCCGCGTTCACCGATAAATCAAACTCGACGCACTCGGATGCGACCTTCTCGGACGGTGCAGTAAACGACAGCACGAGATCTCCGCACGAGGAGCCTGACATGGCTCCTCCGCCGTACGCACCCAGCTAAGCTGGTCTGGCCAGGGCGTTTCGCCGGTCGTCGAATGCGTATATGCGCCTAGATTCAAATGTAACCTTAGTTGTTTTAATCGTTGTATTGAGGTCGTTTGGATGGTCAATGTGCCGTCTGAAGAGTTCTACGGGTAATGCCGGATACCGCCGGCGACGGAGGCGCTGCAGTTTGGTCGAGAGCGCCTGGGGATACAGGCGCCTAAGAAGCTCGCTTTCGACCACCATCCCGGTTCACGTTTCTCCTCGTCCTTGAACGTGTAGGCAGCTTCAATTGCGGGTCTGAACCACAAGGAGATAGAGGTAGGCACTTTGTCTCACTCGCCCATCTTGCGACGCTTTAAGTCTGCGACCTTGAACGCGTGAAGGGCTCCCACGTCCTGTACTGACAGTTGCTTGTTGATACGAGGGTGGCTCCAAGCCTCCTTGATGTGTTATCTTCTTTCAGATGTGATGATTCCCACTTACGTCGCAGTATGCATCGGTCTGCTAAAGAATTTCAATACAGTGAGCAGCACCGCTGTGCGCCCGGAAGGCAGAGATCATCGACCTACCGCTTCAATCTCATCGCCTATCAGTATAGGTACCCCGAGGTTGAGGCATTTTTCAAATTTTCCATACGCTGACTACTACTCGGAAGAAATACTTTTGTCGCATACATCATACGCGATTATGAGCGGTTGTGGCGGCCTCGTTGCGAGTGGAATCATCACGAGTATGACAGATACGTGATAAGTTACCGACCCTGTGCAACTTCTTCGCAGTAAGGACCAACTTGATATAAAACTAATTCCTCATCGACTTCATTCTTCATCTAGCTCGCCACTCCCTCGGAATTTCTGTAGCACCACTGCCACACTGTCTTATGAGTTCTTCGAGTGTCCGCGTTGACGTTGACGACACCGATGCACGCATCCTATACTCCGACGGGTGGACAAGCGGATTGTCTGATAAAGCCTACGATCAGACTGTGCACTTTGCAGTAGACGAAGGCTTAACAGCAACGTTGACATTCAACGGTACGCATAACCTCGCCACTTCATGCCGCAGTTAAGGACCTCCTCCCGTACTAGGTACAATGGCCGGCATCATGGGATGCGGAGGAGATAGGGATGCATTCGGTTGGCCATCAATGTCAGTGGTCATCGATGGGAAGAATTACGACCTCTACCTCAACAGGTCTCTGTGGGAGCTCGTGCACGGTTCAGAGTGGCGGGTACGCGACCGGCCCGGCATTCCGAGAGAATCTTCAACGAAACCGCCGGAGGAGCGACCTTGGACACGAACGTCCACCATCGCATGCACGCTCGTCCAGCTCCAACACAACACTCAGCTCCGTAAGCACTTCGTGACCGCGCCTCTCAACGTTGCAATGTGAGTAGAAGCATCCCAATATTCGGTGCCGCGTGGTCTGGACTCTCAGCAACCGTTTATCCTGCAAGCACTTAGATGTCGTCGTCGACTGCACATATGTACGCCGTAATCCGTTTTATTCTGTGCGACACGAAAGCTGAGTATACAGGGAGAAGCCACGATCTCATTTACTCCGGGGTCTTTTGCAGCAATGCGTGGGCCACTGGCCCCGCGTATCCCCCGCAGCGCGGACAAGACGGAAATGCATCCGCGTGTTCCCCTTCCCCGCCACCCTTCAACCGCCCGGTCCTCCATAGGACACGTCGGCACAGGTACAGATAGTGGAAATCCCGTTAAAGGGTATGTCGCGGATAGGCATATCCTCCCCCGGTCTGCGAGAACTCCGCCCTGGCCCCGCTGCTCGTACCTGTCAACACGACTCTCCATCACATTCTCTGTCCAAGTCATGATCAGGTCCCCGCGCCTGGTCAGCGCTGCTTGGACCTCATATGCCTTCTACGCCTTCGCCCGGTACAGAGACCGTTTCTTCGTACAATCTGCCTCGGCCTCTCTTGCGGTGATTGACTGGGATTGGCGGCGGCTTGCTCAGCGTCGCGGACTTCGAGCAACTATCTCTGGTACACGTTGTGGTCTGCAGCTCAAATATCACAGGAACGGCGCCCGCCGTGCTTCCTCAGGCAACCTCCTCGACATCTCTGTAGACCGGACGTCCGACCTTCCTCTCGCGTACACCGGGCTTTCTCGACGCGGCCCGGGCTTCTCGTACCTACCCAAGGACCATATAACGCGGGTCCTTTTGGCCCTCTTTCCTCAGGCCCACTGCTCGACTCGGACAGCCCGCCCACAGCACCCGCCTACCCCGTCATGGCTTTCCGCGCAACCTCCTTCCTCCTGCTCGCCCTCGCGCACAGCGCGCGCTCCTTCCGCCCCGAGACCATCCCGCTCAACTGGACGACGCTCGCCGCGTGCGCCGTCGACAACCCCGCGCGCATCCTCGCGGGCGACGTCACGACTCAGGTCGCGAACAACACCGCCGCGTCGTGCGTGATGTCGTGCGCCGCGCAGGGCTTCGGCTACGCCGGCGTCGAGTTCGCGGACGAGTGCCACTGCGCGACTGGGGTCGTCGGCCCACTCGAGATCGCCCCAGACACGGACTGCAACATGGGCTGCGCGGGCGACAGTACTATCGCGTGCGGCGGCGCTTGGCGCATCCAAGTCAGTAGCCCATCTATTACGTCCACGCCACAAAGGTCCTGACGATGAGGCGTCTCCGTTACGTAGATCTACACCTTCCCTGCGCTGCGTCCTGGCAGCTGGGCGTTCGAGGGCTGCTTCGTAGACGCGCCCGCGTTCACGGCCGTCGAGACGCACACCTTCGATACCAACCTCGACTTCGTCAACCAGTGCCTGCAGGCGTGCGCGCGCGATGGGTTCACGTTCGCGGGCGTCGAGGACGCGAGCGTGTGCCAGTGCAGCGGTGCGGCGCCGGTGGCCGCTGCGACGCAGGTGGACGAGTCGGAGTGCAGCTCGCTCTGCCCGCTCCCGGGTAACGCCGGTTTCGAATTCTGCGGTGGGGTGGACCGGCTTGGGGTGTACAGCTTCAGTGGATGAGCGATGGTAGCTGGGTGGTATAGAAGGATTTGGGGACTGTCGTACTCGTTATCCGTCGCTGTGTCTGACCGACGGCTTGTAGGTTGTAGTTGCGCGTATAATGATCGGCGTTGATCGTACGGAAAACAGAAAAACAACAGCGTAGTACAAATCCGACTAGATATACAGAGATACAGCATTGGATAGCATGGAGAACTGACCCACGACCTCAATCTTCATCATCCTCTACGTCCCCATCCGCCTCCACCTCTTCCATGTCCTCGTCGCGCGCCCTTTCCCGTGCTCGCGCCCTCGCGCCGCCCCTCGTCCGCGCCCGCGCGCCGCCCCGCGCCCTCGGCTTCCCTCCATTTACCATGTTCCCCTCCGCGCCCGCCCTGGCACCTGCGCGTTCGCGCTCCGTGAGGACCTTCTTGACCGGGTCCCACTCCGTGAAACTCTGGAAGAAGCGCCGCTTGCCCGTGCCGGTGGGCAGTCCCGCGCGCGCGCTCGCCCATGCGGCGTGCTCGTGCCCGTGCCCGCACCCATCCTCGTCGCCGTCGATGTCCATCGCGTCGGGGTCGTAGTCTGCTGGGTGCCGTGGGACGTCGAAGTACTGTGAGGTCATAATGCTCATGCGTTTCTTTCCGCCGCGGATCTTGCGCGCGGGGCGGCCGCGAGTGCGGCGGGAGGACGAGGCGTCGGAGTCGTCTTCGCCTTCGGACTCGGAGCGGGTCTCGTCGGATTCGCCCTGGAGGTCGTATACGAATCGCGCGTGCTCTGGAGGCGATAATGAGTACAACGTTGTGTAGAGGGGGACAGACCATGAACGTACGCGCGAGCCGCTCATCCATGTCGTCGATAGGTCCCTGTGAGCGGGTGCCTGAGAGACCGAGGTGCCGCCCGAGGCCTTCCCGAGGGACGTCCTGCATCCCCACTGAAGGCGCAGGCTGAAGCTGCGACAAATCTCGCAAAACGGACTCCCTACACGGCGTATAAGCAACAAGGACCGAACGTGTGTATGGCCAGAATATGTACCTGATACCGTCTAGTGCGTTGTTGCGTGAGTTCAAGTCCTCAAGGTTGCTCTCGAGCACCTCAAGCCGGTAGCGTGGCCCGAACCACTCAAAGTACTCGTTCCAAGGCAGATTCGGGTCGATGTCCTGCTCGATGCCGAGCGCGCAGGCGGTCTCGTACGTCCACGCGCGCGCGACGTTCTTGACGGTGTACCCGCCGCCGCCGAGGAGCATGAGAGGGATATTCTTCGCGCGCACGTACTGCACGCAGTGCGCGTGACCCTGCATCGTGAGGTTCAGCCCGCCGAGCTTGTCCCCTGAGAGCGAGTCCGCGCCGCATTGGAGCACGATCCCGGATGGGCGGAAGACGTCGATGATCTTGTCTATCACCTGCGCGTGGCGGCGTTAGCGCGGGAACGGAGATGACGGTAGGCTGAAGGACATACTGGTTCAAAGATGCTCTTGTACGACTCGTCCGTGATGCCGTCCTTGAGCGGGACGTTGACTGCATAGCCGCGCCCGGGACCGCGGCCTCTGTCCGTGATCTGGCCTGTGCCAGGGAAGAACTCGCCGAACTTGTGGAAGGACGCGGTCATAACACGATCCGTAGTGTAGAACGCCTCCTCAACGCCGTCGCCGTGGTGACAGTCGATGTCGATGTAGAGCACGCGTGGCGCGTAGCGGAGCATCTCGAGGATACCGAGGACTATGTCGTTGATGTAGCAGAAGCCCGAGGCCTCGCGCTTCTTTGCGTGGTGCAGCCCGCCGGCCCAGTTGATTGCGATGTCCGCCTGTCCTTCCATGAGGCGTTTCGCGGCGGCTTCAAGGATTCCACATATCATGAATCCATGCTCGTACGCCGCGGGATAGAGTATGACGCACCTATTGAACCTCCGGCAGAGATGGATGAGAACTCGAAGACGCCTTCGAATGGAGGATTATCGTCTCCCACGAGGAAACGCGTGCCCTGGTAGGTCAATCTGCGCGCGTTCTCCGGGGTGACCTTCGCGAGGAAGTCGATGTACTCGTCCGTGTGGAAACGCGTCATGGTCTCCGCCGTGGCGCGTTTCGCGCGCTGCACCCGTCGGGTCAGTTTGCTACATGCATAGGCACCTGGAGGGAACGCGTACCAGGACGTGCATCTTGGGCAGCATATCATATGCAGAGACGAGCTCATGCGTGATACGCATGCGTTGTGGCTTCATGGCGTGTGTCAGGCCGTATGTGTACGAACCCACGTCGGCTGTGGTCATGGTATATGGGTCCCGTAGCAGACACGAGCGAGACATCCCACTCACGATCATAGTAGTATGCCACTCGTCTCTTTGACATAGTTTCCAGCTCCTTATTGGTATGCTTCTACCTTCTGCGTTCCTTGGTAGGCCGTTCGGAATGTGCAAAGCCCTGGGAGGTTCGATGCTTGGAGAGGTTGTGAGAGCACGAGCTACAGGAGGTGAGGAGACAATGATATGTGGTCTCCTTGAAGAGCCTCAAATATATAAGAGACAGTCGCGGTCGTTAGACAAAGCAGAGAGAAGAGCGTTGCGGGGGAGAGCGAGTACAAGTCCAAGCGGAGGAGGGCGTTGTGGCGGAGGACATCCTAGGCGCCCATGGAGGCCATGTTATTTTGCCGCCGATCGTGATCGAATCTCGATCCTAGCGGGCGGGCCGCCCTCCCGAGTCCCCGCTTGAGAGACATCCTCGCACACGCCGCGAAGTCCAAAGCAATTATTGAGAACCTCCTGGCCAATTGGCCAATTATGTACAGATATGCTACTGTAGATATACCATGCATCGTAGCCCGTTAAGAAGCGCGCTCGTAATTTGACTACTGGGAATATGGGGGAGGGGAGACGGAGTCGAGCTTATGCGACAGAAGCGGTTGGTCGTGCATCGCATTGGCAGCTTCTTGATAACCCGACGCGAACGATGTGGGATGTGTATCGAAGGATAGTGAAGATGTCCCGGATGGTGCTGAGAAGACAGAAGTATCTGGGGTGAGAATAGGCCCGGGCGACAGTCTATACTCCTGCTGGTGTGCCGAACTTGAATTGGAGTTAGGCGCAGATGTAACGATGGATTCCTGCACGGAGTCCATGCCTCGTTTCCGAGTCGCAGGTGTCAGCAGCGGGGTCGAGGAGAGCATCGAAGCGGGGGCTTCCCGCATCGACAAACTCGGCACATGTCCCCCAAGGACCGGGCTGGTCAAGGCGCCCTCCACGATAGCTGTTGAACCCATCGAAGCTCGTCAGACCGCAAAACGCACAGTTGAACTTGAAGCCAGATACATACCATCGCCTCGAGAATCTTGCTGGACCCGAGATCGCCTGCGCTGCATGAAGCAGTAGCCCAGTGCTGCCAGGAGTAGGACTCCTACCGCCCCGCCCACCGCCCCGCCCACAATCGCCGCAGTATGGCTTGATGTGGAGCCTATACTGCTTGCGGATGAGCTTGCCGAAGCTACAGGGGCCGATGAGGAAGCAGAAATGGAAGCGGGAAGCGAGGTTGGCCCGGAAGACGCTGTGCCCACGCTAGAGAACGTTGGTCCGGCTAAACGTACGTGGTGCGCGTGCGAGAGATCGAGACGTACTTGGAAGACTGAGCATCGGTGCCATTGCCAGGTACGACCCAGAAGTTGTCGAAGAAGAACGTAGTGGGAGTTGTTCCGTTGATGTTGGTCACCACGATGGTGTGCTCGCCAAGGGGGAGTGTCGGCGACCCGAAGAACTGCAGGGTGCAGCCCTGGACCTTTGGGTCTGGATCGAAGTTGCTGTCGGTGTTGTAGGACGTGCCGTCGATAACGACTAACTCGGTCGGCGACCCATACTGCTCCGTATCCCCTCCGCAGCCTATAACGCCGACCTGTATCCCTATAAGCAGGAGAGTTCAGCGATTGATTAGGCGGATGCAAAAGGAGGGGCGACCTGTGAATATCAATGTGACCGTGGCGCCCGCCTCCGTCGTATAGTGCAGGGTGCCGTTATATGTATTCTCATTCTGCACCGAATGCCAACCGGCGGAATAACGGATACGGGGATCATTATCGTCGACGTTGTAAAAGGTGATATTGCTCATCGAAAGACGACCTAGCGGCATCAATAAGATTGGCAAACCGGCGCGAGTTGGAGAAGACGGACGAACCTAGGTGGGACAGAAGGATTGGGGAGCAAAGGGAGAGCCGAGGGCAGTTTGCACATACCGCGTGTTTATATACCGCACTGCTCAATGCGCGTACGTCGCAGCCAATGTTTTAAAATGAGCCCTCGCAGGCCCTCGCATCAATAAATCGCACATGGGCCGGCGCGGCGCGATCACGGCCACGGTATTATTGCAGGCAAGTCCTCGGTCTGGATTTGCACGATGGCCGCCTCTTCGCCGGATCGCCCGCGATTGGTCATCGCGCGTGGTACTGTTCTTTGCGTGTCAGACTACAAACCTCATCGGTCTCTGTCCGAGTCTCGCGGAATTTGGTGGTGGTTTGGCGTCGACATATTCCCACTAGTATAGGTCTACCACAAATCCTACAGTCGGCATCAAGTGCACCGGTAAATCAGCTACTGGGAATACGGAGGAGGGGAGGCGTCGGAGTCCAGCTTGTCCGACAGAACCGATCGGTCGTCCGTTGCACCAGCGACAGCATCCCGATAACCCGACGGGAAAGACGTGGGCTGGGCATTCGAGACCACACCAGAAGACCCGTACGGCGCTGATGAGACGGTCCCCGATGTGAGGAGAGGACTGGGCGACAGGGCGTATTCGTGCCCTGGAGTTAAAGGTGGTGACGACGCGCCAACAGAATCGGATGGGGAGCCCGTATATCCCTCTCGAGAGGCGAGCAAGGGTTCAGAAGCGAGACTGGAGGCTGGTGCTTCGCGCATCGACAAACTAGGAACGTGTCCTCCAGGGCTCAGCGTCGTGAAGGTGCCTTCTTTGGTCCCTATCGAAACTGGTTAAACTGCGAAACGCAGTCGCAAAGGAGAAGCACACACCGGCTTCAGGATGCTCCCGCGAAGCCCGAGATAACCTGCGACTGATGAGGTAGTAGAGGGCCAGCGCCACCAGGAGCAAAGCTGCTACCGCCCCGCCTACCGCCCCGCCCACGATGGCTGCGAGGTTTTGCGGACGGCTAGAGGTGGAACCCACAATTGCGGCGGATGCACTTGTCGACGCGGCTGGGGACGATGTGGAAGTAAGGGACAGCGTCGCCCCCGAGCTTGAAGAGCTCGTTGAGGAAGTTGACGAAATCGTTCCCGAGCTAGACAACATCAGCCCCTGGGACGCGCGAAGAAAACCGAGACGTACTTGGAGGACTGCGCACTGGCACTTGCGGAAGTGGCTGGAACTGATGTAGGAGTATGATGCGGCGTCGTTAGCGAAGAGCTCGACGAGGTAGTTGACGATTTTGTACCCGAGCTGAATGGATAGGATTAGTCTAAGGCACGCATGAAGCCTTGAGAATGGAACGTACTCAGAGGATTGTACACTTGCACTGGCACTGGCACTTGCACTTGGACTGGCACTTGCACCCCCATTGCTACCGTTATCCAACGGAACGAACCAGAAGTTGTCCAGAAAGAACGTGTTGGGCGACGTCCCGTTTAGGTTTGTGACTACGAGTGTGTGTTCCCCAGGGTCAAGTGCGAGCGAATCAAAGAGCTGGACATTGAAGAACATGGTTGTTGGGTCCGCCGTCAAGTCCCTTTGGATTTCCAAGGTCTTCCCGTCGACGACGTACGACTCCGACGGCCATCCCCATTTGTCCGTGAGCCCCCCGCAGCCTATAAGTCCAGCCTGGGTTCCTGTAAACGGGCAAGCTCAGCATGGGATGGAGACGGAGCAAAGGAAGAAGCGACCTGTGAATACCAACGTAGCTGTGGCACCTTCCTCCGTTGTGTAGTGCAGGGTGCTATTGTAGGCCGCGTCAAACACCATCGTCTGCCAGTTGCCGGAGTACTGGATACGAAGGTCGCCATCGTCGACGTTAATGAAGCTCATCGGAAGGTGACCTCAGCACAGCAGAATGAAAGGAGTGGAGAACCGACGCGAGTCGGAGAGACGAGGAAACTTGAAACCTGGGCGGAAGAGTAAGAGCGGGGCAGACGAAGCACGTAATATAACGTACACACCGTGTGTTTATACTATCACGGACCGTGTATAGTATCGCCTGGTGTGCACGCAGATCTCAGGCCCAGGGGCGAAGCGAGGCTTTAGCTCAGCATCAATCCATCGCGCATTGGCCGGCGCAATCATGGCAATCGAACACGATGGCCGTCTCTTCGCCGGACCGCCTTTGACGGGTCAGTGCGCGTCGTTTCCTTCGACTCTATACATCTCCGTGCGAGTCACACGCAGCATTGATTGTGTCTGCAGGTGAGCGAGTGTATAACCTGAAGTCGGTGAGTACTACTGTATTAGTGAGCTCACTGAGAGTGCGGAGGAAGACCCGACCTTTCGCTCTCGCCAGCCTCTTTGTGAGACAGAAGCGGGTGCTTTGATGCTGTCGTGCGGCGCCTGATAGCTCAGCGACGTCAAAATCCAAGACTCGGATCGACGGGTGTCCCGGACGTCACACGTCAGCGACGGCGCGTTTCAAAGCTGAAGAGGCTCGGCGATATGGGTGTGAACTGGGCCAGATCTGGCTTGAAGCGGAGTATGTACCGCGGAGGAGTTCGTGGCAGTGGTAAAGAAGGATATCTGTTGACGTCGAGCGCTGAGCGCTTCGAAGAGCCCATGATGGCCATCCTTTCCCCGCAGGTACGGCCGGCCCGGCCACCCGATTTTGACTATCTCAAGAGGGTCATCTCCAAGCGGAATGAACAGTTCTAGTATCTTGGCTGCTTGCACTGCATGTTGAGCAAAACACAAACCTCGATATCAGACTGTAAGTATATCTGCAGCTTTGGAGCCTGGCCGTACATCAATATTCACTAGCTTGGTTCCACATTTAATTAAAGGTCCCTCCGAGTCTCGGCCTGCGACATGGAGTCGACTATTACCGGGTATTGTAGTACGGAGGAGGGGAGCCATCGAGCTCCGAGTTATAATACGAGAGCGCGCAATCGTGTGGTGCGGTGCCCTGATGCCCCGGCGTGACAGGCGAAGACCATACGTGTGAGCGTAGTGAAGGTACCCCCGGGGAAGGCTCTGGCGCAAGCGAGTCGGCGGGCAGCGTTGCGGGAACGGGCTTGCGCCGCGTGGACGGGACTCTCGAGACTCGCTGGCCTGTTGAGCTTGGTGTCGTCGGCGGGGTGAACGCGACAGCGGGATCCTGCGGAGAATCCGTGTATCTCGTGGTCAGGAAGGGTGCTGTCGCGAGTGTAGAAGCGGAGGCTGCTTGCGTCGCCAAACTCGGCTGGTGTCCTCCAGCGAACGGACTCGTTATAGCCGCCTCCGCAGTCGCTTTTGCGCCCATTGGACTTTGTCAGACTGACATACACACAGATGTGGGGCTAGGCACATGCCATCGCCTTGGAGCTCTCGTCGAGCGCGAGCTAACCTGCGTTTGAAGTAGCAGTAGAAACCGAGCGCTGCTAAGTGCACGACTGCCAGCGACGCGCCTGCTGCTCCGCCTATGACCGCTGCAATGTTTTGCGATCGGCCTGCGGCTGTGCTTGCGCTTTGGGAAACTACTGCAACCACGGTGGAGGCTGGCGTGGTAGAAGACGGTATTGAGGATGAGGATTGGGATAGTATTTGGGGCGAGGGCGGAGATAGAGAAGTGGCTGTTCCGGAGCTTTTCGAGCTGCTCGAGCTAAACAAAGTCAGTCTAGCCGAATGACAAAATACGCGAGGGGGTGCCTGCAACGTACCTGGTGACGACGTCTTCGGTTGAGATGTACCAAAAACGGTCAAAGCAGAGTGTGTTCGGGACTGTCCCGTTCAGGTTCGTGAGCACGATAGTGTGCTCTCCGGGATCGAGAGCGGGGGACGTGAAGAATGTGACGTTGAAGTAGACGGTAGTCACGAATCCCGCCAACCCGGTTGGGACAGTCTCTATACCCGAGGCTACGCCGTCGATGACGAACGACTCCGACGGCCACCCGTATCGGTTCGTGTCCCCGCTACAGCCCATGGCGCCGACCATGGTACCTGTCGACGAGACGGATCAGCGGTACTCTGCAAGGACACGTATAAGAAAAGGGCTACCCGTGAATGTCATCGAAGCCGTCAAGCCAACGTCCAACGCATAGCTCAGGGTGCCATCATATGCACCCCCGTTCTCTCCCCTAGTCCAGCTGCCCCCGGAATACTGGATACGAGGATCGCGATCGTCGACATCCACCCGCACACTCTGTGAGCTCATCGGACGGCGGTGTAAGTGAAGCAGTAAGGATAAATCGAGGAGCTACTGCTTGAGCGACGACGACCTAGCAGCACAGTGAGGTTTCAGTGAGATAGGTATTCAGACCAAGCTGTAGAGTCCACGAACTGTTATGCAAAACACCCGGCTTAATAGCCCGCGCTGTTTTGCAAACCGCCGGGCTATCACCCTTATAGTGTGACGACTTTATCCTAGCCCCGTTCACAACCAAAACCCACCGTACATACGTAGATGTACCTCATGAGTAATCCATTCGATGCAAAACCGGATGGGATAAGCTGCGCCAAAAGAATTCGACCCATAATGAGAACGGGTTAAGGGAGGAGTCGAACCATCGAACGCACGGATAATACGATAAGATTAGCCAGCGTCTCAGACCACTGCACCAGCCTCGTCCTCTCATACACACTTGCGCATAGGTTATATTCCCTCGGTATTCCGCGAGAACGGGTACCGTATGCCAAACTACGCGTCGTTTTGCAAAACCGCACGCTGTTTTGCAGAACCTCGCCGTTTTGTAACACGCTCTGCGCTGCTACTCCAGCACTTCCGGAGGAACCGCGGCCGATATAGTTCCCGCGCTTCTAGTGTTTCCCGCGCACCCGCGAGGGCGTCCCCGCCAACATCACTCCCGCGCCTGTCCAAGCTCCCGCCGTCCCGCCCGCCGGCTCCAGCGTTCTTCGTCTTTCTTCAACATACTCCTTCGCGTCCTGCGCGTTCTTTGCTACACACCCCCACCGCTACTATCCACCCTCTTGCGCTGCGATTCCTCGGCCCCTGCGCGTTTCCCCGCCTCTTCATCTTCGCATTTCACCCACCCCTCTCGCGGCGCCAACTTCGGCCTTCCTTCGTCGATACATGGGGAACCACAGTGGTCCATCGGCGGGGGTCCCCCGACCAAGGCATCGGCCGGAAGCAAACAAGATTCCGGTATTCCACACGGCGCTGGCCTCCGACTCGCGCCAGCACCCCGCGGCCAAAAAGCGACACGGCCAATCTCCAGCCGTGCGCCAGAACTCATCGACGCTGCCATCGAGCCGCGTCATAGGAGCAGGATCAAGCTTGCGGCGTCTCATGCAGAGGATACGCGTCTGGTTGGAAACCAAGGTAAGTCCACAATGCGTTTTTTTTGCCTACCTAGGCTGCATCCGCGCAGCTATCCTCCGCCCCTTCTCCCGCTCGGACGCAAGGCGCGTCCGCGACCGCCTCCGTCACGCCTATCCCCGAACGTATCCAACCAGCATACGCCGCCCCGACCAGACTGCGCTAGCCGCACGCGGAACCCCTGGCGCCCGACCCGCTACTTCGCCGTCGTCAGTACCAAATCCAAACACAGTGGAGATGCCCGTCTTTGCGGGAAAACAAGCACAAAACGTACGTTCCACTAGTTAACAATACTTGCGTAACGCCCACTTAGTGCTTTTAGATGTTTCATTAGTAGCTATGCGTCGCCCGGAGGGGTTTACTTTCGTAGTGCTCTAGTCCGCTGCGCACAGTCCATGTCCAACGCACCGGCATGTAATCCGAGCCCCGTGTTTCCTTCACACACCTGCGTGCACCCATACTTTGTCGGCGACTCCTTTCCTTTCCGGCCGCCACCACTTTTCAGGCCCGTAGATATGTGACCTGGCAGGTGGGCAAAAAGGGAAGTGACTGCATGCAAGCCTCCGTGCGAGGAGGACGAGGCACCGCACTGCTATTGGCTCGCGAGGCACGTCGGAGGATCAGTTGCTCGTGCCCTGCGTGCCGCGCCGCACTTACTTCTATCTCCTCGCCCTCTCCTCCGCCCGCTCGCTCGCCGCAGACGACTGTCGTGAACACGACGCACTCTCGTCGGCCTCGCACACTCCGTGTTTGTTCGCCGTCGCTAGACTCACGTTCTGTACAGGTCGCAACTCCCACTCGAACGACACGACCCGCGCCCGGTGAGTTCTCGCTGTGGTTCTCGCGCGTGTCGCCCCTGACGCGCGACTGCAATCCCCTAGATTCGACCCACCCACTGACATATCTGGTCCCCAGCACCTCGCCGCGTAGTCGCAGCCGGCAGTCGTCACGCCTGCGATGCGCGCCGTCACTTCACTAATATGCCATTTCGGCGAACCCACCCTCTTCCAGGGTCTATAGTTGTCCTCGACGCTCCGTACGCGTGCACAAGACCCATGTAGTCACGCGTCCTGCGTGGGGTGGGCGTCCTGCTCGGTGGCATTGTCCTGCGACTCTAACTTCGATCCGGTGACTGTTGACTAGCGATGGTAAAGCACCTGACTTACTTGTGCAAAGTTTCTACAGGCAATTTCTGCGCGAAGACGGCTTTCGAGCGCGGGGAGGTGGCCTGTGTCGATGTAGGTCAGCCAGAGGTGAGTCAGTACACTGACTGACCTGTCGAATGTAGCGAAGCTAACATACCTCTGTAAGTACGCCCGGGCGATTTCCGCGCGGTTTGGATCCGTTCGAGTCCAGGCAGGCCGGCCACCGGGTGTGACTATTACCTAGACGTCCAGCAGGTAAGTCAAAGCGTTGATCCACCCGGCACTCGTCACCTGTACCGGTCCACCCTCTCCGGTCCCCCCCCTGTGTACCGTCACCCCATTGCAGACGCATTCCCAGCCCTACATCGCTGTTGCCAGACCGAGGCGAGGCTCTAGTTCCAACCAGTGAGCGGGCCACCCTCCGGTATATACTGAAGTCGCTCACCTCCAACACTTGGTGAAATGCCCCCACCGGCTCGCAACGCAGACAAGGGACATGCCTTCTCGAGGGCCCATGGCATGGGCGAGCTATGCACAGATGACGCGGCGAGGGAGGCCCCAGGGCACATGTATGTTAAACCCCTGAGTATCTACGTAGATACCGGGGCTCGGGGCGGCCCCCTCCCTACCTCCCTCATCTCGAGCCTTGCTCCTCGCGCAGTTGAGAACTGCTGTGGTCGCCCGCGCTGATGAAACGAGTGCGATCTGAGAGGCGGCGACCACCGACGCCTTCCCCGTCGTCCGCCTGTGAGCCAGCCAGAGGAAGGAGCGTGCCGTGCGTGGACGGGTTCACAGGTCTGGAGACAGGCGGCACGGCTACGCAAGGGTTAGCGTCGGCGTGCACGAGACGATCACGTACCTCGCGCCTTCACCCAACCCGTTTGGCGCACCGTACACGCCTTGTCCGAGGCGCATGCGTAGCCGCCTTCGCGTGCACGGCCCGTGCACTCCTTCTGCTGTGTCCTGACCATCTCGGTGCGTACTGCACGTGTAAGCGGTTTCGGCAGTGACGCCTCCGCGCGTCCCACAGAGGCGTCTCCAGCGATGGCACCAGCCCAGTCGCTGGGCATTGCCAAGATGCGCTGCTCCGCAAGTTGTCACGCCTCTTGCTACTAAAAGCGCGTACGTCGGTCGCATCGTGAGTGCCCATTCACGACGCCATACTACAGTCGAATCGTTACTGCCCATTCACTACACTTCTCCGTCCAGGAAGGCAAGACCTTCACCGTCATCAGTACGCCGTCGGCGAATAAACCATAACCACGCACCTAGTGTTCGTGTCTCCATGTCGCCCGACGTCCCCATTGCCCTCCTTCGACGTCTTCATCGAATTGCACTCGTAAGGAACCCGAGTGGCTGTTATATATTAGGCAGTGCGTGCAATCACAGCCGTTTGCGTACCTCGTATATCTCCTGCGGGAATTGCTTAGAGGCATGATCAAGGCGGCGCTGCCAGTCGTGCTTCTTCCTATCAAATCCGTGAATACATTGAGCGAAAGGAGTGCACTGACTGCTTACCGACGAGCATGAGCCGCCGCGGCTGCGCGTCCCGCTAGTTCGTGCTGCTCCCCGCGAACTGTCCACGTCCTTACCGTGTACTCGAAAAAGCGCACGGTTCGATACATCTCCTCGCGAAGGGCGTTGACCTCCTCCCTCCAGCGCGCCAGCAATGCGCTCTGTCGCAGCCAGTGAACCTTCACACCTACAGCTCAAACGTGGTCAGCCTCCATCTCCAGTCTAACCAACGCCTTACTCACTGTTTGTGACAAAGATCTTTATCTTGCCCTCGTCAAGCTTACCCATGTACGTGAAATCTCCCCAGATCCAAGTCGGATCAAGCTTGCTATCGCCGCGCCTGACTTCTTCGTCCACGATCACGAAGGCTTTGCAATCTTGGTCCTTCAAGACTCGGTAGGTACGATCCTTCTTGGGCATTCCGAGGACGATCATGGCTAGACGTGCCCGACGGTAGGCATACTTCGCACGCTCGATAGCGTCGCGCTTGCCATGGATACGTCGGTCCATGGCTGCGTTATGGATCGTGCCGGACCCTTGCGTCTTGCGCTCAGCCAAGCTCATTTGTGTCGTCAAATGCAACCGGAGGTCTTCGAGCGCCTCGTTTGCCTGGCCCTCCCGTAGACGGCGCTCTGTCGCAACGGCATCCTTCATCGCCGCATGCTTCCGGACCGTGCTATGGTAGTCCGACGGGAGTCGGACGTCGACCTCGTCCAGCCTTGCAGCCATAGCGGTCAGCTCTGCCGATTCTCGTGAACGTTTGCATTTGCCCCTGGCCGACGGCGCGTCGCATTTGGGCGGTGAAGGTGGCGACGGAATTTCACACGTGCAGTCGTCACTGGTCGTGCGAAGGGGGAACCCCGGAGGGATGTCGCAAGGGGCAATAGACGACTTGACAGCATCGACAGAGTCGCTCAGCTTGCTGTTGCAGTCGGTGGTGACTCGCATGGCTTGCTTGTGCCACGTATCGATCTTCGTGCGGAGACGTTCACGCTCCTCTTCCGTGCCGGAGAACGTGTCTACTTCCAGACGAAGCTGCCGACTTGAAATAAATTCAGCAACACCTTATCACCTTCACAATGTGAACACTTACCGAGTTTCTTGTACGGCCAGCGCGCCTTCTAGGGTGGCGACACCTATGACGCCATCGCCCGTTAGCTTGGTCGCTTGCTCAGCCGCTAGTTGTTCGACGATATCCTTCTGCGTCAGGGCTGCATGTGCTCAGCATCGACGAGCTCCGTTACAAATCGCTAACTTACATGCTTCCGCGGGAGGCTCGTAGATGTTCTTCAAGTGTTTGTGCTGGGTGATGTCCACGACGGCCTTCAGGTATGCCGCCTCCTCGACACGCCAGTCATCGATGTGGTTTTTCCCGATGGACGTCTCGATCCTAGCGAGATACTTCGCGAGCTCCTTGACGCGCTTGTGTCCGTTTGTGTACTTGCCGAGGAGCTCCTTCACTGCCGCACACATCAGTCGTGTGACGTTGCAACCCGCGGGACGACTCACCTAACACCTGCAGGCGGCGGAGGTTCATGTCTTCAAAATGCTCGTTGAGGACATCATGACGATGTCCACCGGACATCTCCTTGGTGCGGAGCGCGAGGGCGTTGAGGATCGCCCAAATGCGTTCCATCGGCTCGCCGTCAAACATGCACGCGCCGGGAAGAAGGTGCATCGAGTACTTGTGGCGGCATTCTTTGGTGTGCATGCTGAGGTGATACTTGCCCACGCCCGCGATGATCTGCGGGAGCTCCGTCGAATGCAGACCGTCGATTTCGGAAAGCACGACGCCGTAGTCCGCCAGCCGCTTGCGCAGGTTGATCATATACTGACAGTTGATATCGTACGTACCGAACAACTGCAGCAGTACCAAGTACTTCTGAAGCGTGCAGAGCAGGGCAAGATCGACGAATTGATATCTATTGCGGCACGTTATGATTAGATGGATATGGAGGAGAGGGTTACCGACTTACTGCTCGGCGCGAATCAGATCGATGATAGAGTTCGGGAGCATGTACATATGCCGGCACGATATCCCGACGACGCCAGAGACCTTGCCCTTGTATTTGCCCTGACCCATGGCACCGAATTGATTACAGGTGCTCGCCTGAATACCCATGAACAACCCGCCCGCGAACACAGCTGACCTAACTTACCTCAGCCTTCGGCGCCTTCGTTTTGCTCAAGAACTGCTTCGCCGTCTTGCTGGGCACGAAATAACCGGCACCGTCGGAGAGGGCGACGTCGAGCGGGTCGGTATCGCGATCCTTCATACTCAGGTGGAAGTTCCCGTCTATGGAATATTGCAGCGCGTCCAGATATCTATATCGCCGTCAGAGAACGCCTTTTACCGCGCATGGCACATACCGGTATTCCGGCAAGCGTTGCTGCCATCCCTCTCGCATGTTGATTTCCGGCTGAGGGCACGCTGGGCAGAGGAGACACAGTTGGCCGTTCTTGAGTGTATCTCCCACCCAGGTGTCGTACTCTGCACAACGCTTGAGATGGTCATACTGTCTTGATGCGTTATTGAACTCGCGATATCGATCCTGCACGGCATCAGCACCTCGCACTCCCGTATGGAAACAGTTCGCTTACCGCTACGTCCGTCGGCAACACATTGTCCGTCAGCCTTGCGAGATGCCGCACGTAGTCGTCGACGCTGACTTGTGCCTGTCGCGCAATCATGTGGTACGTATCCATGACTCCCAGGGTCATCGCCGTCCGCGGCTTCTTCCATGTTGCCGGCCAGAACCCCGCAGCGATGAGCTGAAGCGGTTCTATCGAGCCCTCGGTGCACCAACAGTAGTGCACGGGCAACGCGATGATTCCGCGATCATGGACGATAGTCATCGGACGTGCGGGTGTCCTCGTGTTAGGGCACTTGTTTCCGGCGTGACCGAGGTGGAGCTCGAAGCCCAGACTAGAAAATGTGGTCAGCAGCCAAGCACGAGTGTCCCGGTCCCAAGCAGTTATCCTATCCAGTGGACGTTCGACGTGCGAGGAGAGTAGACAGTCACGACACTTCAATGCGCCCCCGAGGCAATCCTCGCATCGATACAGAGTATGGGCTCCTTCAGATTGCCCTTCTAGCCTTCCTTCGCAACTCGGGCACGTCTCGAGGTTCATAGGTGGGGCACCTCGCGCATACATGGCTTCCTGGGCAGGTTTTCCGAATTTATCGCGGAATGCGGACTGGCGGGTGGATGGCTAGAGGGCAGGGTTAGTTGACAGTCATGAAACATGATTCTCCACGCACCGCATATGGATTCAGCGGAGGCACCCCCTCGTCCTCATCCTCCCACTCAGTGTCGTCCTCGTCCGCGTCGTCCTCATCCTCTGCGTCCTCCACCGTGACCGGAAATTTTACTCTCGCCGTGTCCGGCGTAGTACTTGCACTCGTCTTCTCCTCAGCGCCTCGATCCGTCCCCTCCGCTACGGGACATCTCGAGTGCTCGCCGCCTGCTTTGTCCCACACAGGATCGAAAGGAACCACCAGCTCCGGCTTTGTAGCCTCGACCCGGGCGCGCTTCATGGTGACAAGCTTATTCAATGTGCCGAGCCGACCTTTGGGGCGCTTTATCTTAGCCATAGCACAGAGTAGCAGAGGAAGGACGTGGGGATGCGCCAGATGTAGCGGGCCAAGCTGACACAGTATGAGTCGCATTTTATCCCTTTCCCACGCTCCTGGGGGTTGCATCGGGCCCCAGTGATCTCGATCTACACCGACCTTTCGATCGACCTGCTTAGCAGACAATGCAGAGATGCGACCCATGCTCACCGCGCGAGGTTGTGTACGGGGCGTATACTGAAGTGCTCAAAACGGTGGGGTACGTGATCGGTCGTGGTATCTGTGCCACGTCTAGCTCAGTTCGGACTTTCATTCTCCTTGTCACCGCACGACCTTCCCATTTGCTTCTCGATATTCGTATGACATCGGTAGCCCGTCGCCTGACTGTACCTAACTTCGCGCCTGCATAGCGCGCATTATTGATGCAATGCTCTGTTCAACGCGCTTGCGGAACTCACCAAAAAGTCCACGCCGCTCGTCTCGCGCCCTAGCTGGCATCCCCGCACCTTCGTGTCCTATTGAGGTATCGCCGCGAAACGCTGTGATGGCCACAGCGCAGTCTTCGAATTTTGCGTCAGAGGAAATCGGACGACTTACACGTATACGAGCGTCATAGGCTTCATGACGATCTTGAACGTTCGGCCTATAAGAAGGGTGTCGGGCACTTCAGCGTATGCGGCGCAGGAAGACGTCGTGAATCGGGGCCCATGTGTTGAAGGCGGGGAGGAGGTAGTGTTGCAAAGCAATATGTCGCACGGCTGGCTTGGCCACCCGCGGTAACAAATTGCTTGGCTGCTCCGGAATGCACTCTATGACTTTGAGCCGGAGCGCAGACCGAAGCACGTTCTGCGTAGGGAGGGGGTCCGGGGTGAAGTGAGGGATGCGACGAGTTGATTGTGCTTGAATTCCTGTTGGTGTCATGCGTCATCAGCGAACTGCCCTACATTGTCATTCCAAAACACCTTTTACCGTCTGGCCAGTTGATATGCAGCCGTGAACAGAGCCGCAGAGTGTGCGCAAAGCGAGAGTGAGAGTCGAGATGGGGGTAGTTGAGAGGAAGCATGAGGGAGGGCGTCAAACCCCAAGGCCTTGCGCACGTGCTTCATTTCCCAGCCTCGCCGAGTAGATTAGATGGATAACGTAGATAATCCGAGATTGCCGGACGTCGTCTGCGACATCACGCCAGCTGTCCGCCACGGTGTCGGGCCCATGCTCGACGCTGTTTCGGATGGCGACAACGCCTAGCGCTCACGCGCCCCGCGTCCCAATCCGGCATTCCCCTCTCCCGAAGTCCGAACCTCTAACTTCGGCCGTCCATAGTTCCACTCCCTCTCATCGAAATGGCCTGTAATTTTTTTAGTACGTGCGCGCCGATGGGGGTATTCTAATCCGATTCACTGCATATATTTTGAGATGGTACACGAATTTGGACATCCAGATCATGGCACTTAGAGATCGGACGACATAGAACGAGCTTTAGCAAAGTCCATTCTCATTGCGCGCCGCCATAAAAATGCTCCCCGGGTAGCCACAGTCTCTCCTATTCTAACAAACCCCGATACATGCAGTTTGGCCCAGTGGTCCGCACTGCGTCATCTTAGCTCCTGAAGAAGGACAGTCATATCTCCCAAGTGTCGCCAAAACTGAACACCGGCGGCGCGCTCAGGCGCGCACCCATAAACATTTTTCATATGCTACGGTAAGCAAAATGGAGAAGTATGATGATCTGCGCTGGCTTCGTTCATGTGGGAGGTGCAAAGTGCCAAAAACAGGTGAATTTTGAACATACATTGCAACATACCGTGTCCTCATGACATCAGGATTTTACAAGATATGTTTCATCCGGTTGCCCCAATTGTCCCGCATCGTTCAAGCCATTACACATGTTTCTGCGACATGTATCGAGAAAGATATGGTTGAAACGGTGCCATGTATGCACACTTGTGCACAAGTTGTGGTCGTTTCGTTGTACCGAACCCTGCATAGGCAGCTATTCAACAGTCCTCAAACCATATCTCCATGACCCCTCAACGTATAAATGCGATTTTGGGCTTGTTTGATTCGTACATATTGAGGCTATCTAACGATACAGGCAGTACGTTTGTCTCGTCTGTGGATGGGACGATATGTTATGTTCTTATGTCAGAAACATACACTTTCTCGGCGCATCGGCACTGCCGTGTTTGCGGACTTCAGACCTCTTATGTACATTCAGTGTCATATTAATATGCTGTATAATTTATTAGGTGGGCCAAATCAAATCGGTCCAACGTCGTTCGGTCCCGGAAACATCGGGAACACATGCGCGCCCCGCCTCGGAAGCTCAGGAGACCCTGAAGCGACCACCGGGCCAACCATCATGCACGAGGGCTGATTTGGTTTGGTATGCTTACTGTTATTTGGGAAGCGTTTTGACGTCGTACAGGGCGCAAAAATAACGACTCTACAGGGCCATTTCGTGCACGCTGAGCGGTCTCCGATGTGCTTTCAGTGCTTCACGACGAAGGCCGTCCCAGTCGACCTTTTGTGCATTTTGCAACCCTGCCTCGGAGCCGTCTTCGGCCGCGAGTGGTCTATGCGATTATATCAAGTGAAAGTCAGCGTACATACTTGGGGGTCTGACTCCGCGCGGCCTAATGCACTGGGACTTACTGTGCTTGCTCCGGGGTCACTCATTTCTCACTCCGAAATCGTAGTTCTATCTCCGCCGTTAACCGCGTACGTCTCAGTTATCGTAATATATGCGCGCGACGAGAGATCGCTACCGCGCTGTGCACTGGTATACTAAGGTGTACCCGTTTCCGTTATGTTCTTCAAGTACTGTGCCTCGCCTATGCTGAAATGCGGGGTAAGTCGATCACTGATCCAATGTCCCGATGGCATCTCGCGACGTCTCGCGCGCTGTGTGAGTCCAATGAGAAAGCGGGATGTCACGTGCAGTCCTGTTCGGGCCAGATTCGTATGGCGGAGTTTGACCGAACTCGGGCGCCTCCCTCACACACGGTCACGCACAATCAAGACTTATCTCTCATCTCCCTCTGCAACGACCGCCCCTCGAACGCATACACACGCTGTGAGCCGTCCCACCGCTTGTATTTACGCGTCAGAAGTTCTGTGAGCCATTTGTGGCTCACAGTCATCGTTGCTAACCAAATTTCATTCGGTATCAGTCACTCCCGGACGACACGTCGCGACCCGCATCCCCCCATCTACCCCCCACGGTTCACCGAGCGAGCTCTACTGCTCCGCGAAGTGGACTGTGTATAATCAGTGTGAGGACAGCTCAACGCTTGCCACACCTGATTACGACCCTCTCCGCACTCAAGCTTCGTCGCGTCGATCTGGCCCGCTCCCCTCAAACGATATCTGTCGCCATCCCACGCAGTGGTCTGATTGGATTTCCGCCTCAGGTGATCGCTTACAGTATTTAGCTCTGCTCGTGTATTATTGCCCTGAATTCGCACCGTAAAAGCTCCTCGATGGGTTCCGACGACGCGCTCCCTGACCCTCCGACTCGCAAATACGCCGGTTTGAAGTTCCGAAAGCGACGCGCACGGACTCCACCACCGCCTCCAACAGAAGATGCTTCCTCCTCCACGAAGTAGGTCACTCACGGTCACCACGGAGTATAGCTGACCATTCTCCAAGTGTCTTATCCCATCCAACCACAGCGCCGACCTCGCGGCCTCCTACCGCGCCCTCGGCGACCTCACGTCCTCGCAAATCTCCCGTAAATCGGCGTCCCGCACGGAACTTGCAGCAGCGGACAGCCAGAGGTGTCCCAGAAAACGCACCGATGGACATTGATTCCCCCGCCAATGACGATCACCACAGCAACGCCCAAACCCCAGTCCCTCCTGCCCCGTCGACCGTTCCTTCCATGCCGGTTCGCCCGCCCACCTTACGAGTGAATAGATACGGCACGGGTGAGATAACCAGTGTACTCATCTGACCGTTTGCTTACCATCATCTCAGCTCCATCGGTGTGTGATCCGTTCGAGGGCAAGGTCGCTGCTCAGGACCGGTTCACCTCGATGGTCATCACGTCCCCCAACATGGACTACGTCCCGCAGTATCCAGTCGAGAGTTACATCGTCCAGACGTTTGCGGACGGTCGCTGGGGGGTGCATGAATACTCCCGGTGGCCTCAGATGCTGCTGCCGGAGATGATGCACGTGGCATGCATTCCTCGCAAGGAACTGGCTGACGCCTCTCGCAAGATCCTGTGGGAGGATCTACGGCCGGATGTCCATTGGACGGAGGACCCAGAGACCGGAGTGAAAGGCCTCGGCTTCTTGAAGAAGGAGACGCGGGACGCTCTCGCTGACGCAGCGGAACTGATCCTGGCGACGACGGAGGCTCACTGCAGAGGTACGGAGCCCATCCGAGCGCACTGTCGCTTCATCAGGATGATTCTCCGCCAAGTGGTCGATCGAATGAAGCAACTGCCGTCCACCAGCGGCATAGCCGTGGCGGTAGGTGCACACGTTCAGCGGCTGGGTTTGGAGCTCGAAGGGATCTTGGCGTACCTCGTCTGGTTCGAGCCCCGTCTCCTCGGAACCACCAACTACTCCCATGACGTCCTCCCCGTCCTCGGCGCATTCGTCCGTGAAGGCACAGATGCACAGACGTGCGTCCGTATCGGCCTCCCTACGTGGTTTCTGCAGCCCCTGACGCACCAGGTGCGGGTGTGGAAGATCGTCACCGCGGAGTCGGTCGACGAGAGAGTGCCCCTCTCTCATCCCCCCATCTTCCAGAAGAAACAGGCAGTCGCTGGCGTTCTGAATCTCACCAGCAACTGGCTCAGCACGATGTCGCTAGCGGTGTCGAAGCAGGTGTGCGGTACGCGTCTGATGGGGATGGTTGCGGAAGGCGACGGCGCCGGCCTTACTTCGGCGGGGGGCAGCCCAAGTAAAAGACCTCGCATCGACGCATCTGACATGCATTCGAAGCACTTGGACGTGCCGAAGGCCGTGGAGGTCCAGACCGGCGAGGCGGTACAGCAGCAGCAGCAGCAGAAGAAGAAGAAGAAGAAGACTCGGGGAGGTAAACATGGGCGAAACGGAGGCTGCGCGATTGGCGAGGGGCTTGCGGATTCTCTCAACGGGCAGACTTCGGCGGCTGACGAGGCCGTCACTCAACCTGAGGCTGGAGTCGATCGGCCGGCGCCGATCGCGGCCCACCCGTCACGCTCGTTTGCGGCTTCGCCCTTCTACTCGGTTCCCCACGTCTGGCAGCGCGCCCTGGAAGGTGTATCGCCCCTCCCTCAACCCACCCTATCCGTCGTCTACTTCTATCCACCGCCTTTCCTCCTCGACACCGTCTCGACCCTGGCCGTCTTGCCAGCGGATTGTGAACATCCGCAGCTTGCACGGACGGACGAGAAGGTCCACCGATATCTCCACAATCTTGTGCGGATTCGCAGGTTTTGCCGGACGCGGCTGTTCGATCCATCCATGTCCAGTCAGCCCCTGACGATCGCCGAATGGCGCGCAGCGCTTTGGGGTGACTACGAGGTCCATACGCATCGCGCCGGCGGTCAGACCGAAGCGGATGTGCGCCGCGCGCAGAAGCGGCAGAACGAGCGGAACGGGATCAGCCGTCTTCTTGGCCGTACCGCGCTCCTTCCGTCGTACCGCCCAGACAGCACACCCTCGCTGGAGGGGAGTCCGATTTCCGCCCATGCGGCGGCGTCGACGTTGGAAGTTCGTGCCCGTCTGTTGTGGGAGGCTCACGAAGTGAACTTCCGGTGCGAGCTCATGGCGCTCGACACGGCCATCGTCCACCGCCCGGACTGGACCGAAATGCTTCGGTGGGGGAGGGAGGCCGCCGTCTCCGGCATTTGGGGCCCCGACACATCCGTCGTCAGCGTTATCCCGCCCGCAGAGATTACGCAGGAGCCCTTCTGTTGGTCGACGCCTCCCGATCCCTCCTGGCGCGACGTTCGGCGGTACCTCGCTCGGTTTCTGGAGATCATCACGCGCTGGCCGGACACGCCTAAGTCATTGGTGGACGCGCGGGTCGATCACGATGACTGTACTGTGGATTATTTCGAAACCGTCCAGCGCGAAGCTGTCGCATACTACGTACGCACTTTCGTGGCCCATTTCCACCGTTTGCCCATTCCTCCCATACGTGTCCCTGCGAGCTTGTTGAATTCGGACGAGTAGTGTACCGTACATGTAGACAATAGTGATCGACTCGATGTACATTTGTACGATATCCTGGTACGCTCGTGGGCCCCGGATGATCCATTGTAAAGGTTGGGGCAAGCCCCCCTGGAACTGCTAACCTCTAATTTGTTCTCGAGGGTTCCCGCGCTCGGTGGCCATCATCTTTCAGCAGCGATGTACGTCCTCCGAATTCCCTATCAGATCCACCTCCTGTAACGTTGACTGGCGAACGTTAGCCATTCTGCTCCCTCTGTGGCTTTGCTATGGTCAGGTTCTACGGCAACGAGAGACAATATCTGCGCGACCAGTGGAAGCTACCGGACATCCAGCACATCGTCAACCGCCCCGAGACGAATGGGAGAATCCAAGACATCGCCAACGTGCTCTGTCCTCTTTTCACGAAGAAGTTCAAGTCGCCGTGGCCGGGAGAATCCCCCACGAGCTTCGCTAAGCGGAAGCGCAACATGACGAGGGCGAAGAAATTGGAGGCGAAGGCCCATCCTGCTGAAACCCAGGAGGAGTTCGAGGAACGCATGAAGAACCTGCCCAAGGTAAGTCGGTTTGTATTCACGAAGGCCACGCTGACCACGCTGCAGATCATGTATACATGGGTCTCCGACGAGCTGCACACGAATCCCAAACGGCAGGCTTCATCGTCGGCTCCTGTGGTGCAAATCCCCCTCGTTCCGCTGCCCAAGATTCGCACTCGCAGGCGCAGCGCCCTCGATATGTACATCAAGGAAGCACCTAGAAGGTCGGGCAGCCCGACCTCCGGCCGGTTCGACGTGAACGAGTACCGCGCCAGCTGCAAGGATACGCTCGAGGACTTCACGCCTGATCAGCTTGCGACGTACGAGGCGAAGGCGCAAGCCTTCAACGACAAGTTTGTTCGGCCACCGAATGCCCAAGACGGACCTGCCGAGGCGCCTCCCGCTCTGTCAGTTCTTTGTACCTCCGCGTGAGCCTGGCTGACGTCGGTCGTAGCCCCGCTGAAGCAGTAGCCTACTGGCTGGACCGCACTATCGATGCCCTCTACGAGCAGCTTGGCTGGGGCGGGGTGTTTATCGTCGGAGGGCCAGGGTTGAGCGGTGAACCGGTGCATTACATGTAAGCACCCTTCTCGTCTTTCGATCCTCAAGCTGACATGCCAAAGTGCGGAGCGCGGGAAGAACCGCCACGGGCTGACATTCCTCGAAGCCCTGCGCCAGCTTGGGAGGTGGACGCCGCAGGAATTCGAGGGGTTGGTGGGTTTATGGTTGGAGCAGAGTCGTAAGAGTGAGTCCCGGACCCATTGGCGGGCCTGCTTCCACTGATCTGTGAATAGCCACCGCCAGCTCTGATCTAGCGCCGTTCGTCGGGAATGCGGAGAGGATGCTGCAAGGTACGAACCACGGCTTGCGCGTCTGACTGTCGCGCTCATCTAGTACAGGCATGCGAACTGCGTCGTCTCCACGCGTCACGGGACTTGCGGGTTCGCCATCTTCGGCGAGTGGCGGGGTCGTACGCCGTGCGAATGGGAGCCCAAACAAGTCGCTGCACGGAAGCGAACCCAGCACCCCAGCTCGTTCGCGGACGATTGCGTCACCCCGGGCCACCCCGCGTGGCACTTCGGCGTCCATTCAAGACATCCCGTACGGCTCGTTCACAGTCGTCACTCCCGAAGGTAAGCCTGGCATCAGGGCACTCACGCTCTCGCTCAACCATCGCTTGACAGGCGCCCCGCGCACTCCCGCGCGGTCCCCTCCTTCGCCAGAGGCGGTTCCGACCGCTGGAGACGTTGCGTCGCCCGCACCCAATGTGCGCCGCAAGAAGGGTAAAAAGGCTAAGCGGACGACAGGAGTGCAGATGCCGGTGCCCGACCCCGACCAGGAGACCTTGGTAGGTTCTCGCGTCCGTCGTGAGCGTCGTGTTAGAGACAGGCAGGCCAACAATGACGGGTGCGTAGTCTCTTACTGAGCTGGAACACTGCTGACTAGCTTGCAGAATGGGCTCGGTCACGGTCCTGAAGGTGAAAAGGAAGGCGTCGGTTGAACCTGGACGTAAGGACACTACCGCAAAGAAGCCGCGAACGGCTCGTCGATCGTAATTTAGATAGGGATATGTTTGTATGGCAGCATGGCATCGTTGAGGGAGCACGTTGAATGATCTTGCTAATAAGTACATCGACGTGGGCACCTGCACGTGGGCACCTGCACGTTCGGTGTGCAGCACGCCTGGCTCGAGTAGCCCAAGACGACCGGAGAACGGGCTGACAGGGATATCGACAGTAATGAGGCACCGGAAGACTGGGAGCGATCGGGAGGACGATCTGGATGCAGATCGTGGCAAGCCGTTCAGATCGAAGGTTTTCGGCGAGGAAATGTTCCCCTCTGACCATTCCTCTGCGACCAACAACCGATGGCCGGCGACAAAGCGCCTGCTGCTCTGCTCCCTACCGTGCCCACCACGGAGCAGATCGCCATGAAGCTTGCCCCCGCTACCCACGACGAGACTTCTCTCCGCGGCGACATCACGCATACGACCACCGAGCGGTCCGTCCGGATGGTTCTGTGGTATTCGGTAAGCATGTCCTGGTTCTTCGCTGACCTGCTGTCTCACCTCCGCGCCCTAGAACGACGAGCCGCCTCTCATGAGGATGGTTCCAATCGACGTGTTTGATAACATTGCCCCCGCCAACCTCCAGTGGGTCGTCGACGCATGCGGCGGGCCAGCCGCGTTCTGGTGCGAGGTATGGAAAATGGCCGATGCCGACTGGAGGGTCCACATTCTCCAGCACGACACGTTGGCAGTTGAAGACACCCGCGTTGCGGTGCTGGTCCGAGGTGGTGGCGTCGAATGTTGCATCAACATTGGCGTCGAACTAGAGCTCTTCAGTCAAATGCTCAGTAAGGACGTCGAGAGTTCGCTCGGCCGCTCTTTGCGACACAACCATCCCATCTGCGGACCGGGGGCCGTTGTGTATATCTGGACAAAGGTCGGTGTCACTTTTGTACTTCAACACATGTCAATCTGATTGCCCTTAGGACGGCGACGAACCGGCCGTCTTCAACGTCCCGCTGGAAAGCGACGGTACGGTCCTCATCACCTCTTGTGCTCCTGCTAGCGCATTGTGGCGCAACCCCGAGGACCTGCAAGGAGACCTGACGCCGATCAACGTCGCGACGTGGGACGTCGAACAAACCGAATGGTGCCTGCGTCGCCTGGGGGACTCATTCGCGGTCGCCGCCGCACACCGCACGCTCCTCATCAAGAAGACCGAAACGACAAACACCGTCGGTCTAGGCGACGTACTGGCACGACTGGATAAGGCTGTACGGGACCACGCGCAGGAGTCACGGGAGAAGCTGGGGCCCTTCAGCGCCGCAAAGAACGTATGTGCCGTGTCCCGTCGTTGGAATCTTCTGGCTGACATGGCATTGCAGGCGGCACAGGAAGCCATATCTCTCCGACTGGTGAGGGGCACTTGAATGCATGATGCATAGGAACTAACAGTCTCAACAGCGCATCTTGACCGCTGGCGCGCCTCACACGGCGGTGAAGGCTCGCGCGAAGACATGCACAGTGAGTGATCGCGTTCATGACATGGCTTGCATAACAACTGACGCGTGCGAAGAGCAAGCACGACGAATGCACCACCTATAGCGCCCCTACGGCCAGGAAGGGTCGAGCGAGCATGGGGGGGAGCCATGGCGGCGTGGCCGAGTCTTCGGGCAGCACCAGTGCTATTCGGAGGCGTGACTCGCAGGACGAGAGCCAAGCTCCGCGTAAGCGACGCCGCACATCTGACCCAGGCCCTCGGCGAACGTCAATGGACGCGAATAAGGGCGAGTAGTTGTACCGCGGCGGGGCTGGGCGTGGAGGTGGATATCATGTACATTCCGACCGTCGGCCGTTTCGAGAGTGCCTGGTTCAATCGTGGGGCGGCATAAGCGTAAAGCCCGACCGAGGACGACTTCGCCGTTCGCGCCGCTCACGCAACTGGCAGAACGCCCAGCAATGTGCCGGGATGATAATTGTTTTCGCAGACCCCCAGGGACCCCATGTCATCGTCCCGTGTGAGGTGTCGAGTATAAAGCATGTTAAATGATGCTCCGGCGCCGTGTTAATGTGTCTACTCATACACTGATTGGTAGACGATGAATAGGCTCCTCGGTTGAAACATTGGGCCGTCAGAGTATTCACGGCACCACAACGCTGGGACCACTATCCGCAAAGCGAGATCACGCACAGAGGCCTCGACGTCTGGGAAGTACCTGCGGTGAGTGGCAACGCAGATGCGACGCACTGTATCTAATACGCTCGTTGAGACAGTCGAGGCCGACGAACACGCAGGCGCGATCACTGCTAGCGCCACGGAACGGGAGCGGCGTTCGGGAAGGGAATAATCGGAGTCGACCGCGGGCGGGGCTGCACGAGGGGCATCATGTAGATCGAGTGCGTCGCATGTGGCGAGATTGCCTCGTACGACGACGGAGCAGCATGAGGAGAAAGTCCGATGGAGAATTGTCCTTGCGAGGCACACCCGGGCCCAACGAATCAGGAGAGCGTGAATGCGCAACGGTGGATATGCACGCAGTACCCCAGGGACCGTCTTCTGTACTTCCACGGCACAGACGCTTGGCGACACGGTGCTCGTCCGCACGAGCACCGATGGTAATTGGCTGACCAAGTGCAGTCTCCTCTATTTAGATTTTCGCCCCAGATTTTCGAGCACACCAGATCAGCGCGACGTGAATTGAGCCGCTAGATATCATGCCGCCGCCAGAGTTTCCGTATATATACACAGCAGCGACGCGGAGTGTCCCCGTCATCCTCTCCCGTCCATCGACCCCATGGCGTTCAAAATCCCCCCTCACTGGCGGCTTTATAAGCGCATTGGTGGCAAGAGGGTTAAGGCACCGAAGGGAAGGAAGTCGAAGAAATTCACCGAAACTCTGAAGGACCTCTGTTGGCAGGGAGCGGAAGAACGCCTACCGAAACAGAACCGCTGTCCGACTTGTGGGCGCCCAGTGAAACGCGAGCTCATGTACGCTCGCGGATGGGCTGGTGCATGGTTGTTAAAGGTGAGCGCGGCCCTTCATACGCGGCCTATATTGCTAATACTTCCGTAGTGCCGGCCGCGCAACGACGACGACACCGAGCACGTGTGCCATATCTCATGGCCTACGCAGCCGGGACCTCCAGATGCCCTCCTGCGGGAGATCGAGGCTCAGCGCGACCGTGATAACGCACCCGGGGGGCTGCCGCTCGACCCTGCCGTCGAGCAGCAAATCCGGGAGGATGCCATGTTGGCAGAGCAGCTGGCTTCCGCCGAAGAAGCCGACGCGCAGGCCCACACCGACGCGAAGCAAGCACCGTTCTCTGTGAGTAGTCATCCGTCCGGGCCCTGGTCAAAGTGTTGACGAACGACGTAGAACGCGGGCAATCGAGGCCAGCGCGGCGAGCCGTCGCGGACCTCCAAGGGCAAGGCGGTAGCCGTGCGCGACGAGACTGACGACGAACTGTCCGAAGACGCTAGCGACGATGAAGGCTCTGGATCTGACCGCGACATCAACGACATCGACTCGCTCGACCGTGCCGTCGAGCAGCAAATCCGGGCGGATGCCATGTTGGCAGAGCTGCTGGCTTCCGTCGAAGAAGCCGAGGCGCAGGCCCACACCGACGCGAAGCAAGCACCGTTCTCTGTGAGTAGTCATCCGTCCGGGCCCTGGTCACAGTGTTGACGAACGACGCAGGACGCGGGCCATCGAGGCCAGCGCGGCGAGTCGTCGCAGACCTCCAAGGGCAAGGCGGTAGCCGTGTGCGACGAGACTGGCGACGAAATGTCCGAAGACGCTAGCACGGACGAAGGCTCTGAATATGACCGCGACGTCATCGACATCGACTCCGACTCCGATGCGCAGTCTTGGGCGGACCTCACCGGCGCGGACGAGGACCACGTCGACCACAGCTCCGATACGGAGATCGTCGAGGTCGACAGGGACGGCGCGCCGTTGATGAAGGACGTCGACGACGACCTCCCTGACCTCGAGGACATCGTGGAGGTTGACAGGTACGGCAACCCCCTCATCGACGGCGACGACGGGACGAACGTCGACGCAGAGGACCTTCGCATCCGGGACGAAGAATTTGAAGCAATGGCGCAAGCTCCCGAGGAAGACGAACACGACGACGAGGACCCGGACGAGTCTGCTATGCGACGGGCACACGACCTGTGGCGTTGCGAATTCGACCTGGTGAGTGTCTCGAGTCACGGGAGACATCGCGGAAGCTGACGTGACCTCAGCACCTCCACCGCCAAGATGTATACGCGGTAGGTCTTCCTCAACTACCCGTTGTGTGCTCGTGCTGACAATGGTGTTCGCAGCTGTTCATTGATCAGAAGGTGGATTTGGCGGAGCTATTCGAACATCACGCCAACGTGAGTGCCTCAAAAGCTGTCGCGCGTTCGCACACTAACCACGCGCGTTTGCAGGGCTTATGGCCGATGTTTTTGTGGAGCGAGGCAAGTAATCAGCGTTTCGCGAGGCTCGATACGACTGACACGATGTCCGGTAGAGTTCCGCCTCACCGCACGTCCTGCGCGTCATGCTGAGCGGCCCTGGCGAGCTCCGCCTCCAGGACATTCGTTATTGCAGCGCGAGTGCGCGCGGTTCGTTATCGTACCCGTCGTACGAGGTGTGGTCGCACGCCGAGGAGGGCTGGGCGCCCGTCGAGGATGGACGCGTGCGCGTCGATTGTCGATTCCCTGCGATCGTGCTTCGGAGCACTGCGGCGGTCACATGCGGGGACCTCGGGAAGGTACTCGCCGCCGTGCGCAACGTGGCCATCCAAGACCCTCTTGAGCGAGAGCGTCATGAGTTCTCCGCTTTCGCGGAGGAACGACGTATTGCCAGGCGCCAGCGCAAGTCTGATCAAGTCGTTGTCGTGCTTTGGGTGAGTACAGCGCGTCACCATGCCTGTCAATATTGACACGCATCATCCCAGGGCAAGTACGGCCGGACCGTGTGCCCCATGTACCTGGCCCGAGACCGCCAGCTTGCCCTCCGGCGGCTGTCACCCCCCCACGTGGTCATCGATGACCTGTCCTACGAGATTTGGGACTTCTATCGCAACAAATGGGTCCTGACCGCCGCAACGAACTCGCTCGCTGTTGGCTGGGCGACCCACACCCTCCTCATTCGCTCACCAGGATACGGGGACCTCCCGTCGTTCGGACTTGAGCTGCAAGCGCTGAACTCTTCCTTTACGCACTAGGCCGGAGGGCGCCACAGCCACGCCACTCAGTGAGTATCGTCAGAATCATTGTGCACGTCTGCTAACCTTCGCCTCGGCGTAGGTGGCAACCTCAACGTAGTGCGATGATCGAGATAGTACAAATATATATATATATATATATATATATCGTTGCGTACATAGAATAACGCCTCTCACAGTGGTCGGGGCATACAGGCCAATTCTATAACATTGGCACTGGAGCGAACATGGTGCAAGCGGGGATGTAGCGCGAGGAATAGTCAGTCGCGCTCTTGCAGGGACCGTTTTTTTCGTGCGCCGTCGACCCGCAGCATACGCTGTCATGCACCAATATGGATTGGTACCTGGACATGGAAGAAGGGCCGGCCATCCACAGGCCCGTAATGACCCAGCAACTGCAACGACGAACAGCCCACCATTCTGAAAGGGCGATACCAAGGTCGTCGGTTCGATCCTGGTGTCACCCACCAAGATGTCAGCATCCCAAAAGGACCTATAAGGGGCCGACCCCATACAAGACCAACCCTCCTAACCAACCAGTTTGCTCAGGGAATATTTCCGCATCTTCCAAAAAGGGACCAAGGGCCACCCAACTCCCCACTATCCCCAACCCCCTGGAGCACTTCTCACATCCTCTCCCCACCTCCTTCATACCCCAGAAATCCCCATCATACCCTATGACATCATCACCCTATGACATCATCACCCTATGACATCATCGCCCCAAAAGATCCAGGGTATCAATGACACAATCACCCTTGATGCA